ATTATTATAATCTTCAAATAATTATCCGACCGAGTTTAAATTATTAAAATAATGGCCAATCATTTTTAATGTTTATGTTAACGTCTAACGGCAATGGGTTTTAGATTAAAAAATTAAGAAAAATGAAAAAAAAAAAACAAAAAAACAAAAAAAACAAAGGTGTTCGGTCATAAAAATATTTGCACCACTTTCAACTGTCCACGTGTTGCGTTTCTGAATTCACGTGGCTGACATATCCGTATAATTTTGGCTTTATTTGACTTTTTACGAATCTTTATCCACAAATGTCCCTTCAGATATATATATATATATATATTATGTATAAAAAAAAGCATGTAAAATGCGACATTAAGTTAGAATTACATTTATTTTATAAAGAAAATCAAGTCAATTTCTTTTTTATAAGGGTAATTAGGTAATTTCATATGTAATGTTTTTTTAATCAATTTTTTTATATTTGAGTTGGATAATTGTATGCCACATTAATAAATATTTTTATTGTATCCTAAAAAAATTAATAAAAATATATTGAATAGAGGAAACCATAAATTTTACAATAAAATTTTTAAATATTTTGTAAATGTAATGTATAAAACACTATTAGTTAGGCTATAAACTATTATGTACCAAAAGATAAACAAAACCAACCGGAAATGAAATAGGCTGAAGCACAAAGGAAACTAGGTCACCAAACCGAAGGGAAAGGGCATGCACCCAACATGCCCCCGGTTCGGATGATCTTGATCCACCTTTATCTGAACTTTTTCTTCCACTCGAAGAATGTAAGCTATTCATAATTTAGAAATTATTACTACATTGGTTTTCTCCTAGGCTAATTTAAGCATCTAGCGTCTATACGACAAGACCATACTAGTGTACAAGTATCTCTTTTTTCGCAGATCACGTTCTTGATAGTAACAATTAGATAAGGATCGTCACACCCAAACAACACGTGAAAGGTACACTTCCTTGACCTCCTACTCAACAAAGCTGATCAGAGGAAGAGATCACGAAACTGAAGAGAAGAATAAGCATAATAGACCGATACTCAGTTTAGATCCTTAAAATGTTGGACAACCAAGCTCATCCATTGACGACTCAAGAGGAACTGGTTCGAGATTCCAAAAAGGAAAAAGCTTGGAGGGTATGAGAAACAAAAACTCATACTAAAAAAAACCAAAGCAAAACTTGATCCTTCGAGAAAATCATACGAGAAAATGTTCACAAAAAAAAAAAAAAAAAAAAAAAAAAAAAAAAAAAAAAAAAAAAAAAAAAAAAAAAAAAAAAAAAAAAAAAAAAAAAAAAAAAACATGGCCAAGAGGATTCGCAAAGTCAAATTTTTTTGGTGTCGATAGTACCAAACTTAGGCTGACCAGACAATGACAATATGACAACAATATCTTGAAAAGACAAAACATAAGGATCAAACTTACGAAGTCTGATTAAGGATAAAGTAGAAGCGATAAGCTACATCGATGCAAATGTATGAAGCCTCCATAGAAAGTCGATCCATTCAAAGTCCAAAGAGATCTCAGGAACATCTTAGTAAACTTCAAAAGAAGATTTCTTAAGCTTAACGATGTTGAAAGAAGCTATGAATTGAAAAAGTAGATCTTCCCGAGGTTCATTGAAAGTTCAAAGTTCCAACCATCAAACTTTAAGATAAGAAGACAAATTCAGTGGAACACTTGGATACATACAAATACAGGATGGAGCTCCATAGGGTTTATCTTACAATTCGATATAGAGTATTCTCTTCTACATAGATAGGTTCTAACAAAGAATAATTTAGAAAGTTAACAAGAATGTAAACAGGTTATTTCAAAGAATTAGTGAGGATGTTTGCTTAATCCACCACACCTAAATGGTATGAAAGTTATCTATTTATAACAAACAAATTACAAGGATATGGAAAGAGTAATAAATGGAAATAACAATAAATGGAAAGATACCGAAACACAAATATCTTATAATAGAATATCAAATATAATATATATGGTAAACTATAATTTAGTGGTCACTACAGACCACCTTGTCGCTGCATTTACCGTCAAAACTGCCATTTGGATGGATAAACAGTTAATTTTCATAAGACTTGTTATTTTAGTCCAACCTCGAGTTTGGATGCTACGTACCACTAACATTTACCTCTAAATTTCGACATAGTACCAGACACAAAAGTGGGAAGTTTGACATGTCAACCAGTGAGTTTAAAGGTTGTTAGGAAAGTTGGAATATACACAGTATATTCCCACGATGAGTAGTAAGCCTGATAAATTTTGGGATTTGTGCCTTGTATAATTTAAATAAATCCATTTGATATTCTAAAGTAGGTTCGGTCTAGTTCGGTGTTGGACTAACCCATGTAGTGTCGATTAAGATAAACACGTATTGAAACTAAGCTATTTTGTTTCGGACACTATCCACGTGGGTAATAATTGTTGTCAAAATTGAGGCCTCACAATGAATTACAGAGTACGAGAAGTCGCAATAAAGACAGGTACCCCATGGATACCACCAACCGGCTTAGCCTCCAATAATGATAGGCTTAAAAGAGGAGACATGTTTGGTTTTCTGTTTTTTGTTTTTTTCTCAAGAACAAGGCCACCAATTTAATCCATGTGTGTTTTTTTTTTAAGCAAACGTCATAATAAATAATTCATATTGGTAGGTTTTTAAAATAAAGGTGAATTATGGAGTAATAAATAAATAAATAAAATAAATATAAATTATTCTCGTCAAATTTTCAACTCTGTTATCCGCCTTGAAAAATACATGACAACGAGGGGCCCTAATTGGGTTATGACCACTAAATGAGATGAACGGTTCTCATCTAAAATAACCAAGGGTAATAGTGGAAAATCATCCTATGTTCTTCGGGTGATTTAATTCATACCCGTTTAGATATCGATGTTTAGGCTTTACGTTTTCGTGAATGTGATGATACATTGTACATCATACTTTCATGGGAGTGATGAGATTCAAACCTATATTTTATTGGTGAAGAATATGTTTTTTAACTAGTTAAGCTATGTTTGAATTGGTATATAATTGTATATATAATTAATATTAAAAAAATGTAAACTTTAGGTTAAGAGTGGTCCTTGAAAACTATGTAGATGGTGGAGTATTTGGACGTTGCGTATCATTTCTTTTTCAATGAGTACAAGTCAAATACTTTACTTTTAAAGGAGAAAAATTCGATTTGTTCTCCTTACCAGAAACTAAAAGTCACAGTTTAAGATTTTATATTGGTTGAAGACGGAAATGAAACATTTCTTATCAAATGTGAAATTTTTTTCCTAACACACACGTTTTAAAGTTGTGAGATTGACGACGATATGTAATAAGCTAAAACAGATCATATCTGGTAGCGATGAGCTTTAATCATTACTAATGATATTAGAGTCAATCACCGAGAGGTGTGTCAATGAAGACTCTGGCCTTCAAAGAGATGGATTGTGAAATCTCACATTGGTTGAAGAGTTTGCTCGGCCTTAAAATGGGGTAAACTGTGAGATGTTGCGTCAATTGGAGAGAGAAATAAAACATAGGTGTGGAAACTTGCATGACATTGTAACGATAAAGCCGACAATATCCGTGGTTTTATAACTAATTTTTTTTTTTTTTTAAGGGTATCTTTTTTAATTACCAACCAAAAATGTTAGTAAAAAAAATTTAATGGCTATGGGACAGAGGTTACGTAGAGACAAAACCTAAGATCTTCGAACCAATAGCATGCAAGTTATAATTAAGGTGGTTCAGAAAACAGACAAGACGCAGCCCAGTGGAAGTTATGGCCACCCATTTACATCATCACCAGCCTGGATTAAAATTGGATATTTTAAATTACACGAAGCAGATATTATCTGATTTGGTCCGTTACATATCGCTGTCAGCTTTACTGTTGTAAAACGTGTCTATTAGAAAAAGGTTTTTACATACCCTTATAAAGAATGTTTCGTTCTATCTTTGAAGTGGGATCTCACAATCCATTGATACATTATCCAGGGTGTCTTACTATGATATCATGAGAATATTTGCTAAAACTACCGACACCTATGTTATGGTGATAACTCTACCTTTATAATCATTTACATAATCAGTTATAAATGAAATAGAAACAGAATCAATGGATCCATAAATATGATAAGTTAAACGGTATTAAATGGCTAAATATTGTGCGTCTCAAAATTAAAATTAAAAAATTTATAGAAAAAATGGAAAGTTTTAAAACTAAATTGGTAAATTAATAATAATAAAAAACTGCTATTTTTTACAACAAATGAAAATAACTCTTATTATTCGACCTCTTCCATTATATAAATATACAAGTAGAAGAATTCACTCTGACTTGGGCCTAGATCTACGCTGAATATATTTTTTTTAATCTATCATGACGACAATGGCTTCCTTCAACTCAATTGCATAGGCGGATCCGATCTGGACAGAAATTGAAAATGCATGGGAAAGAACTGGAAAACTCAACTTTCGGATTAATGGAGGGATTCAGTAGATGTTGAATAAATTTATTGTGAACTCCAATTCTGGATCAATGGATGGTTTTAGCAAAAGTAGTATAAATTTTCATGCGATCAACTAAAATTTGATGAAAAACAGAGGTATATGGCGATCGATTTATCAAAGCCCTAATCTCTTCTTCATCTTCAAGCGTTTTATTTAAGAATCTCATCTTTTGCTGTTAAAATTACAGGAAGATTCACACATGTGGGCTGATGGTGATCGATTTGTCAAAACCCTAATTTTCCTTATGTGATTCGGGAGCAATCTTAGCCCATTAAGGCGAAGATCGGTTGGTCCAAAGAGTTGGGTGCAATCTTAGCCCATTAAGCTCGGAACGGTTTTTGTCGATGCACCGTCGTGTAGCGGAGTAGAACTCATCAAATTCGCATCCGTGGTAGTGCTGGGCCATCGTCTTTAACTAACAAAGCCTAGCAGTGAGGTATTTCATGGTCTCTCTCTGTCTTTCTCTGTTTGATTCCGTTCTTATCGACAAGAGAAAAGGAAAGATCGAACTGATCGCGGAAACGCGCGAACTGCCCATTTCATCACTTTTATTCTCCATCTCTCGTCCCTCTCGCGCTTTTATCCAATTCCGCAAGCCAACGAAATAGAAGAGAATCTAACTCCACTTTTTTATGGCTTCAACTTGTTTCCTAGATTGGCGATAGTTTCTGTTCGTGCCAAATCTCACTTCTGTACTGGAAATTTTCTGGCGGCAGCAATTCATTGAACCGGCTGGAAGAGAATGGGTGCCGGTGCGTCCAAGAATTTGGATGGTGGGTCTCATGGGAGTGAAGAGCGAGAGGAAAACCTAGACCAAGCGGGTGGGCAGCTCTATATTTCCTTGAAGATGGAGAATTTTAAACTCAAAGGCGAGCTCGTTCCTCATATTTATGGCTCTGCTCCGCTTGTTGGTTCGTGGGATTCATCTAAAGCTGTAACCGTTCTCTTTCCATTATTACCCTTTATATTAAGCTTCAGTTTACAACAATCTCTAATATTGAATTTAACTTTTATGGTCCATAGCTCTCCTTAGAACGTGAATCAGCATCAATGTGGGAATTGAGCTTTGTTGTTCCTCCTAATCATGGTAAGTATCAATCACTTTCCTATTGATCGCCTGTTAGGAGGGGTTGGGATGTGGGGGATGGGCGGTGGACGGTGGAGAGTTACTTTGGTGATAAAAAAACATAGGGATATTAAGGTTATGAGGTCCTTTTTTTAATCCATGTTCTGTTTTTTCAAAATGAATTAGTATTGCTAGCTTATTTGTCGTGCTTCAATAGGGTATAATAATGAGGATTTTTAATCTCTTTACTGTAGTTGTATGAACTTGAATTGTGTTTATAAAACATCAAAACCTCCTGTCCATCTAATGGAGGTGAAATTACAAAAGACTTAAAACATTTCCAAACTTTTCCTGTACATTTTAAAAAAATATATTTTCATTTCATCTGCACTGTTGAATTCAGAATCACTGGATTTCAAGTTCCTGTTGAAGCCAAAGTATAGCAATTCACCTTGTATAGTGGAGGAGGGTCCCAACCGTCTATTCTTAGGAGGAATGTTGCAAGGGGATACCAGGATGGCCCTTTTCAGGCTGGGTCCTGATGAAGTTTTGGAGTACAGAGTGTTCATTAAAGCAGACAGGGTTTCACCATTTGATCTTGCTGCAAGTTGGAGGGCTTATCAGGACAATCTTCGTCCTTCAGCTGCTCGTGGAATTCCTGATGTGAGCATAAACTCATTGTCAGAGACTGGTCCTGAGGTATCTTTTGTCCTCCTACCCCCCACAAAAAAGGGGGGGGGGGGGGGGGGGGGGGGGGGGGGGGGGGGGGGGGGGGGGGGGGGGGGGGGGGGGGGGGGGGGGGGGGGGGGGGGGGGGGGGGGGGGGTGGAAATCGTTGCATATACAATGTTCCATTGAAAATTATTCTATTTTAAAGAAAGTTTTGCTTGCCAGTATATTATTACTACTCGCAATTAAGTCTTGGAGAAACAAATTATTAGGATTTGATTAGTTGTACATCTTTTTCTCGTTGATTTATGTTTTTCTGTTCAGTACGTACTTCAACTTTCATTGTTTTAGCATTTGATTAGTTCCTTATAGTGATGTGCAACAGTGCAAAGTTATTTTAGACATGTCAAAAGGAATGACTTATTACATCCTTCATCTAAAATGCATGAAAATGATGTGTAACACAGTCAATATATGAAACGAAAACGACTAAAATGTCAGTAACTTAAAACTAAAACATAATGAAATGAATATGACTACAATGTCTTCAACTTTAAACTAAAACATAGAGATGTCAAGGACACATTTATTTCAAATTATATTTAGATATTTCGACTTGTTTGCATTCGATTTTTACATTTCAAATACAATGGGAAGTAAGTAATGGAATTGTTATTTTTTCCATGTGTATTAGAAGCAAAGTTTTAATAATCTAATTTTAAGGAAAAAAAATATTTATACCTTCTTCCTCTGTATTTACTCTTGCCTTTACAGAATAGTTCATCTGCTAGCTTGGAGCTTGATCTTGAACACTATGTGGTCCCAGCTCCTTCATCAAACTCAGGCCATGTCTATGCAGCTAACTTGACAGAGACTCCTAGATCATTAACTGGTTTTGGGGTTCATTCCAATGCCGATAAGGTAGGGAATACATCATCATCTAAGGAGAGCAGTATTCTTGGGGATCAACCAGCAACTGTAAAGGTGTTTTCTTGTTTGTAATGTATATATTAAATTTCAATTCTATTGTAAGCATTAATTAGTGTAAGACATCAAAATGTTTGGACACTTTGATGCAACTGGATTAATTTTATTTCATTGCATCTTTATTTGAAACTCATGTATAACGAAATATTTTTAGAAATACATAATATCCTTGTTTAAAAAACTTGCTCATCAGGATACATTTTAACACTTTTCAAGGAAAAAAGGAGAGTAGAGAACAAAAACACTATTTTACTGTTTTTATCTATTTTCTTTTTTGATTGGTTTAATTTTCCTTTCATATATAATGTAAGTTAAGTTTTCCATATCATTTGATTTAAACATGTTATATTTGTATATGATATGGAAATCAAATCAATTGAAATACAAGAATATGAAACATCTTTTCTATTAAAATTATTATTTAGTTTCTTGGTTGTTTGATTTCAATTTCTGCTTTGGATAGTTCACTTTATAAAGGCTGGATAGTTTCATGGCTATTGATACGGCCTCTTGGTAGTGAATAAGTGAGTCTAGTTTTGTTTACTCTTAGAATTAGTATTTTCAAACTGGCTTAAAAATGAAAAACAATGGAAGCAATTTCAGAATTTCAATCTTAAAACAAATACACCGAAACATCTCCATGTTTTGCTAGTTTGTTTACTTGTTCATCCTTGTTTCATTGGAGATATGAAATTGATAGCTAAACTGTAAATAGGCTTTTTTTTTTTTGCTGATCAATGGCAGAATGTTTACTTTTTGTATGTCTATCGTATTTTCTGTCATGTTTAGTTTTTGGTTGTTGCTTATGTAGGATATGACAATCATTGTTCCTGATCCATCCAAGATGTATATGGGTTCTGGAATGGTTGAATCAAAGTCGGTAGGGACGTTTTCTCATTTGCCAAAGCAAGACAGTCATAGGGGGCTTTTTGTGGATCGAGGTGTTGGATCCCCTAGGCTTGTTAAATCACCTAGTACTAGCGCTTTCTTTGCAGATTTGAAATTGGATACAGAGTCTAAGGTTGGTATTTGATTTTTCGTTTCTCAATACTACAAGTCATATTATTTATCTTCTATATTTTCTTGTTTGTTAATAGAATTCAATGCCAGCAGCGGCTGGAGCTGTTGCTGCTGCAGCTATCGCTGATCAAATGCTTGGACCAAAGGAGGATAGACATTTGGCGATTGTTTTGGTAGGATGAATGGTTTTTCTAAAAATATCATTAATTATCGAGTTGTAGATATGGTGAGGTGGACTACCCATTCTAATAGGCTAAAGGGCTATAGTAGTATTTGGTGACAAATTTTCACTTTTTCATTAGTAGTTTGGTAGTTTCAAGACTGAAAATGCTCTCACGACTTTTTGATGTGGTTTAGGTTGGTTTGCCAGCTCGAGGCAAGACTTTTACAGCTGCTAAGCTTACGAGATATCTTCGTTGGTTAGGTCATGAGACAAAGCATTTCAACGTTGGCAAGGTTTGACTATCTCATAACTCTTATGCATTGTTTTATATTATATTATATGATGAATGAACTTTAGAGTTCAATATAAATATGTTTTCTTTGTTGTAACAGTACCGACGCCTTAAACATGGGACTAATCAGGTGTGTTTTCAAATATGATGCACAATTTTGACTTGTCAATTCTTCAATTTCAATATTACTTAATTAACTATATATAATGCTTGGGGGAAAACTCTATCAATTATTAGCCGATCAATTATGCTAGATGGACAAGGAATGGTTCTTAGGAGGGCACATAAACTTGTGTGGGTAGGACTGAATTTTCAGGACTTCTCTCTTCAAAGACTGCCATTAGGCCACCTAGTTTACTCGTGCAATAGATGGCACTTTTAAAGTTTGTTTTGTTCTGTTTCTTCTTTTTTTTTTTTTTTTTTTTTTTTTTTTTTTTTTTTTTTTTTTTTTTTTTTTTTTTTTTTTTTTTTTTTTATAGGAAACAAAATGTTTCATAGATTTATTTACTCATACTTCATTCTGTTGGTGATTATGGTGTCCACATGAGGATGCCATTTTGATGCTCTTTTATGTGAAAAGCTTTTCTGTATGTGCAGTCTGCTGACTTTTTCCGAGCTGACAATCCAGAAGGCATGGAGGCACGTAATGAGGTGAGTTCTAGAAACTGATGACATGTTATAGATGAAAGAAAATGGGATTTCATTCGCCTCCAATTTGTCTACTGCTTCATCTATTTGATTTAACATTTATATTGGGACGTCACTTGCCCTAAAAGATGGAACCCCCCACCCCCTACCAAAAAAGAAAAACGAAAGGGATCCATTATCTTAAGAAAGCCACCAACTCTTCCTACGATAAAACAAAAAGATGCAATTTCAAGTTTACTTGACTAACATGGATTATTGGTAAGGTTAACACCATGTTAATATTTTCTCTGTGTAAATAGTTTTAATAAATCACCTGCTGCTAGGTAGCTGCTCTAGCTATGGAGGATATGATATCTTGGATGCAGGAAGGTGGCCAGGTAAGGTTTTCCACTGTTACGTCTATTATGTGGATTAAACTAATGGTTTTATTTTGCTAATGCTAAATTAATTTAGGTTGGAATATTTGATGCCACAAACAGTACTAGGAAACGGAGAAACATGCTGATGAAATTGGCTGAAGGAAAATGTCGGGTATAATGATGATCATACCTGTAATTGTAGTGAAGAATTCCAAAAGTATTAAGTAATCTCATCCTTCTTTATCTTTCAATTGCAGATCATTTTTCTAGAAACTCTATGCAATGATCAGCGCATCATTGAAAGGAATATACGTCTTAAAATACAACAAAGTCCTGATTATGCAGATGAGTATGTTTCCCAAGCACTTAATTCATTCTTTTTGGAATTTAGTCTGTTTCTTTTTGTAACACAGTTAGCGTATTTTTTTCCCTTCTTGTAGGCCGGATTTTGAGGCTGGATATCGCGACTTCAAAGCTCGACTGGACAACTATGAAAAAGTAGTTCTCTTAGATATTATTATTTTTCTGGTATATGTTGAAAAATCTAAATTTTCTCTTATGTCAGGTTTATGAACCTGTTGAAGAGGGATCTTATATTAAAATGATTGACATGGTTAGTGGCCATGGAGGACAGATACAAGTGAGTTTAGGTCTTCTGTGATTTTTGTGCCTTTGTTACTTCATATTTTTCAATTCCTCGTTTGCGTTATTTCATTTCTAACTTCTGATATTGTAGGGTGGTTATTTTGTAGTAACTATTATTTTCAAAAGAGAGTAGCGGTGTGGTTATTTTGTTTAGATCAAGCGAATATAGGATTTATCTCACTTGATAATTTTGGTATTCTCAAAAGTATATATTTGCTTATTCAGGTCAACAACATCAGTGGGTATCTCCCCGGACGAATTGTCTTTTTCTTGGTATGATCTCCCCTTTCATCGGTTTTTTTTTATAATGATAAAAAATGTAGACATTCTTAATTCGTTCGAGGGAGTGTTAATGAGCTTTTACAGAAGGAGGGTACATATGGATAAAGCTTAGCCTCTAGAATTGCTAATGAGCGTTAGCATATTTACAGAATGGCTCAATAAAACTCCTTTTTAAAAAAATTATATTACAAATAAAGGAGAGGGATTTCAATAACCACTAGATCTAAAAGGGCTCAAGGTGATGTCACTGTATAAATAGCTCATTTTGAAAATTGGAATCTTGAGTATACGATTTGCTAATTGAAAACCCAACTGGTGGACCCTGTGGAGTTTGTTTGATGATTGTTGCTTTGATTCAGATTTTGACATTTTTTTGTAGGATCTATTTTTGATGTACTACAAACAAGGATCTGTATATTAATATATTATTATGTACTCATACGAACTTCTTTATGTTCTCATCAATTATTTTAATTAATATGGGGCAGGTGAATAGTCATCTCATCAAATAATTTATTATGTACTCTACGAACTTCTTTTTGTTCTCATCAAATATTTTATTTAATATGGTGCAGGTGAATACCCATCTCACTCCGCGACCAATATTGCTCACTAGGCATGGTGAGAGTATGGATAATGTTAGAGGTAGGATCGGAGGCGACACTGAATTAAGGTATGCATAAGAACGCAGGTATAGAGATAAAGTTTTTATGGTTCTTAAATCACAAATATTTTAAGGTAATTTATTGTATCTAGTATCTATACTTATGGAAGGAGAGATTTCTCTGTTGAACCTGCCACCATTTTTTCTTAGCTGACATAATATTGTATTAACCAGGGACAGTAAAAAAAAAGTTAATGTAGGCAAGAAGATCAGTTGAATAATGAATTAGCACAGTATTCAAAGATACTTTTATTTGTCTGTTCAAAAAAAATCTAAAAATCTTAGCCACCAAATACCTCATACAACATTTCATTTCCTCGAGAGGCTTCATATGTTTCTGAAACAGCTCAGTAGGCCCTTGAACAAATTTTGCGACTAAACCTTTAGTTACACTGTTTGCTTACATATGTCAGCTATATTTCAATAATCAAAGAATAAATCAGTCACTATCCTTTTAATAATCCAGTTACATATGTCAGCACACTATCAAATTTAATCTGGCAAAGGAAAAAAAAAAAAAATTAGTTATTAGAACTTCTTAAAACTCCTGAATGTATAAACATGATATAGAATTATCAACATCTAACAGATTAAATGTGCAGAGAATTGCAAACTTGAGTTTTATATTTAGAGAACAAAAGAAATTAACTTAAGAATCTCGTCTTCTAAATTCATAGTAAAAGCTTAGTTTCTAACAAAAAGAAAAAAGAAAAAAAAAACAATTTAAAGCGAGTTTATTTTGTTTGAGGGTGTTGTATGTCACAACCATACTAAGAAGAGAATAGATTTGACTCCCTCAAGTGATGACAAACCGAAGGCGACATGCGAGTGGTGCCCATTGGGCAACGTGTGGGTTGAGAAAGACAAATGTCATGATGCGACCTAGGAGGATGATGCGACCTAGGAGGATGATGCATCATCTAACACAGCAGAAGAGTGAGCAAGATTGGCTATCTAAGGTGTAAGCAAGATTAGAATTTAGAAGAAACAATGTCATCAAAGGGGTCTGAAATAAGCTTAATGGGTGCTATATGGGACCTTAACCCAAAAGTTGGGGAACTGAGATTTGGCAAGCGGCTCTAAAGTTAAGTCTATATAAGTAAAAGATGTAAACTCTCCAAATTTCATGTCAATCGGACACCATATAGACACTCCACATTGGTGCATTACTCATCGCCAAAATGACGTCTTCTCTTGCTAGATAGAAAATGCCATAGAATGGACTATAGGGGAGACATGGTGCTGACTCTCCACCACTCCTGGGCCTCATGACTTAAGTGATCTATCCATGACACAAATGCGTCATGGTGTGGGCAGCCATTGCAATACAATTGTCTTGCGCGTCTTCCTTTGAGAATGTATTTTCAAAGACAGTGATGGGTGGCACAGATGTGCCGACATTGTGCCCCATCTCTCGAGTTGGAGGTTGAAATATGAGACTGGCCCCAACACGGTACACAAAAAATGACATGTGGGGATGAGAAGGTTCATGCCTTAATAATGCCTGGATAGATGGATGTTCTGAATATAAATTTGATTTATGGGCTGGTTCTTGACAAGTGTGCCCAATTGAGTTTTGAAACTCTATGAGATCTCAAGGCTGGGATGGCATCATGAAGCATCATTGCAACTCGAAAGTTCCCGATTAGAAATGTATTGAGTTGATGTATCTTAATAAATATTATAGTGGCTCGATAAGCTCTGGTTTACATAGTTATGCCTCAGTAAGTGTTGTAATGCCCCGATAGATCCTGGTAAGTGTTGGAATTACCTGGTAAACTCTGGTTGAGCGTTTTAGGCCATTTTGACCCAATGAAAGGTCTGAACACATTTTGGTGAAGTTAGGAATTGATGTAGAAGAGTGGAGGTCGTGTTGTTGAGAAGAATTAGATGAAGTGAGATGATATTTAAAGGACTTTAGCCTAGAGTAGAGGCAAGTCGGCTAGAGTTGCAATTGAGGGAAATAGACGTACAGATAACACATACGACTGAATGAAACTTAGTTCTGCATAAGTTATGCTCGGTCGACGAAGAAAGAACCTTGTCTAAGATCCAACAAAGTCACAAAGATGAGTGAAAAAGTATAGCAGGGTGTGAGTTCCCCTTAAAACTGGTCATGATCATGTGTGAATCATGGCGCCACACGGTTTGGAATATAACCATCACACTGTCATTTGGACATTTTTTATTAGTTTTTGGGTAAACTTTCAAGTTTGTTGGTTATGATAAAAGAAAAGAGAAATGGTTCTTAAAATATATTAGATTGCAACTGAAGTAAATTTTGCTGATAGAATAATTTTTGGTGGAGTTGCTTCAAGATCCTTTTAAGTCGAACTGTTCAAGAAAGAATATTTTGATGATGTATTTGTGTGCAGAAGAATTAAATCAGAATGAGTTTAGGTTTCACGTCTTTCAAGAGAGAAATATTTTATGGTTATTTCTATTTTGCTGAAGTTCCATTTTTTTCCTTTTTTGGTTTACTTTTTCTTTCTTTCTTTCTTGTTTCTGTTTTCTTTCCATATAGGTTTTCCAATTTCCTTTTTATCTTCCCTAAAAAATGTAGTGTGTCAAGTTAGTAACCTATATAAATGTAGGGCAGTATTTGCTTTTCTGTAAAAATATAGAGGAACCTTTGCCCCTATACTTCCTCAATTTTTTGTCTGATATTTGACCAATTTTGCTAAGGCTCAGTAGCTCTTTATGAACAAGTATAATGATAAATAAATTTTCCAGTGCTTGTATCGCATGCTCAAGTTGGATTTTCCAAACAATACTTGGCTTTATGAATATGTTAGAAGTACTAATTGTGAAATATTGAGAATATTATTTGGACATTAGGTGTGGCATATTTGTAATTATCTAAGAAGTTGGTTAGGGTGGATGGTTATAAATAAAGTGAGTTTGGGGTTTGGGCAAAATTTTGGGGATTAATTTTGTAGGAGGGAGATGGCCTTCTTGAAATGCTATAACCTGTATGTTTTCTCTTTGATATTGTAACATAATTGGTCTTATTTTCTTATTTTTCAATCTCAAAATTGGTTCCTGTTAAAATATTGAATTGGGATTTACTTCTTTTGGCAGTGAGGCTGGAAAAGTTTATTCAAAGAAGCTTGCTAACTTTGTTGAAAAACGACTGAAGTCTGAACGGGCTGCCTCTGTAAGCCCAAAATTTCAATGCGAGTGAATTTGCGTCTGGTTATTTAAAACTCTAATGTCATCCTTTATGACTTTGTCGTGGTTTAGATTTGGACCAGCACACTCCAGCGAACAATTTTGACAGCGAGTCCTATTGGAGGATTCCCCAAGGTTAGCTTTGCTATCTGAAAGATTAATGCTTAACAACTCTCACTTGTACGCACATGTATAAAATGCTCTATGGTTATTCCTTCTATTAGATTCAATGGCGTGCACTTGATGAGATATATGCTGGAGTATGTGATGGAATGACTTATGAAGAGATAAAGAAAAACATGCCCGAGGAATATGAGTATGTGCGACCTCCCATTCCTCTTGATCTTCGTCTCTTTTCCTGCATAATTTGAATGGATGTTTATTTCCGTCAGATATTCGTTATGATAATTCAGTAAGCTTCTTTGCTAGTCGTGGAAGTTGTTCCTCTATTAACTGTAACACTCTTTGCCCATTGGCAATTCCTTACATTTTTCACTTGCAGAGCACGTAAGAAGGATAAATTGAGATACAGATATCCTCGTGGAGAATCTTATTTGGATGTTATCCAAAGGTGCACAATGTTTCTTTTTTTACCCAAAGCTTCAAACATTCTCATTATTTTATCTTCGTTAGTTATGGCTAATGCCTGTTTTATTTGTTTTACTTTCTGGGGCCATTAATGTTAATGACACAGGCTTGAACCAGTAATTATTGAGCTTGAAAGACAACGGGCACCTGTTGTCGTTATTTCTCATCAGGTAAATTAATTTTTTAACCATTCCATCGTCCATATTTACAGGTGGTTACCTTTCTATTTTGTCTTTGATTACAGGCGGTATTGAGAGCGTTGTATGCTTATTTTGCTGATAGGCCCCTGAAAGAAATTCCACACATTGAGGTAATTGTGCAGATAATTAACAGTCACTTTTTATATTTTCAACATGAATATTTTGGGGCGAGTGAATGCTAGTGGTCTCAACTAGAATGGTTTAAAATGCTCCGGTTCAATTTTGGCAGGTCCCGCTTCATACAATAATTGAGATACAAATGGGAGTCACGGGTGTGCAAGAAAAAAGATACAAACTTATGGATTAACATATCCCTGGATGTTATTCTATAATTCTCATGTTCTTTGAGAAAATCCTATGCATTCTTTTAATTTTCATTCATTACCAAGATGTTAGTGTCATAAATTGTGCCTCACTTGTCATTGACCTCCAATGCTAATGTGATGAGAACTCATGTTCATTTTTGTAACAGTGATGTGTATGAATGTAACTCGTACTCAGGCAGGGTGGGATTGATGAACAAAATTCCCTTCTATTCAAACAGGACTTGGAGGAGTTCTGTTCCATCTATATTTTGTTCAATTATTAAAATCAAGGAAGTTTTAGATGGTAAAAATATCGATATTAACAGGTCGTTGCAGAATTATATATTGTTTTATTATGTTGTTCTTATGGAGGCAAAAGTTAGCTATTTGGTTACGGTCTACTTTGGCCCATCAAAGATAAAAATTCAAAACGGCAGTCTGTAGGCGAGAGGTATCCAAGCCAGACATAATAGTTCAAAAAATTGGAGTATGCAAAAATGGTATGGCTATTAACTTTGCCGTGGAGATAGCATACTCCTTGATCGAACCGCTTGCACGGTATCCACATTCGTGTTTTCATTTTTGCAGTATTTGGTATGTTTTCTTCAATCTATATATACTTCGAGGTATTTGAGAAAGCATTTTTCTCCATCAGGTAAGAAGCTTTTCCTGAAATTTTCAATTTACTTTTACCTTTCATGAGCTCCTTCAGGTGAATGATTGTGATGAGAGATTGCAGAAGCAAACTCACTGGTTGATCTATAAATCAGGAAGCAAAAAGATTTGACTCGAGGAGACCTATCTTCCCAGCTTCCCCCAAGTGGGCCAAATTCAACCTGAGGTAACTTTTTCTTATTTGTTTGAGAGATTTTAAATCTACTAAAATTAAATTCAATACAGTCATTTGATGATCCAAGGCACCCTTGCGAAATTAACTCTCTTGAACGCAACATCTTGAAGACATCCTTTTCGATTCATGCTGCTCTGGTGTTAAACAAATAGGCTGTGTTCTTTAACATTTTGGGTTTTTACTGAATTTAGTATATATTTAGTCAAATATGATGGTACAAAAATGAATATTAGAATTAGGAATCCTGCTTCCTGCTTGTTGCTGCCGTCGCCTTCACGAGGCCTCCATTTCTGGGTTTCTTGGGATTATGGTCTTTCTCCATCTCCCATCGTCGGTATATTATATAATCATTTCATAAAGACATAGACTAACGTCTCCCAACTACCACATCCACATATCCCAATCTCAGGCCTCATTATTATATAAATTTCTCCACTTTAACCAATGACTTCAGTTTCACGTAATCTTTTTCTCATGGGAATCAGCAAGATCCATGGTACACCCTCTTCCATCCTTCCCTTATATCTTTAATCAATCTTAATCCAGTCCATCCATAACCTCAATCCCACTCCCTCTTTCTCTTAGAAGTATGTTCAACTCTGCACAATCACTCAGTTTTTCATCTTTTTATCCACTTGGTCATGCCTTCAGGAGCCTTCTCTCATACAATGGAAGTGTAATGCTAGCTGCTTTGATTTCTTTGCTTCTTGTGACCATCTTCGTCCTCCTCCTCCACATCTATGCCAAATGGTTCCTCTCCCAGGCCCGTCACCAGCGACGCAGCTCTATTGCTGTCTCTCAAGTGCTCGGCCAGCCTCGCTTGCACCATTTTCATTCCATATCATTTGACCATACTCCCCCTGCTCGCTCTCCCACCAAAGGTCTTGAGGCCTCTGTGATCTCCACAATCCCTCTTTTCATTTATGTGTCGGAAAACCAGTGCAAAATTGGATTGGAATGTGTCATTTGCTTGAGCTTATTCGAAGAGAATGAGATTGGGAGGAGCTTGCCCAAGTGTAAGCATGTCTTTCACGTCGAGTGCATCGACATGTGGCTGAGTTCTCATTCCAATTGTCCTATTTGTAGGGTTCCAGTTGCTCGCCATGATAACTCAAGGAGTGGAATTGGTAATAACTTGGAACTGAATGAAAATGAACCGCAGATTGTTGTCGGTGGGTAGCAGCAATGACGTTAGAATGAATTTGAGGAAATTCTGCAGATTCTTCTTCTTCTTCTTCATCCTCAGAAATGTCCTCTGGGTTTCCTTAGAAAATGAAATCACAATTCATGGATTCCAAACCATATGCAAAAAACAGCCTTTCATTTTCCTTGTTCTGAAATTATCTTGAGCTACAACTCATTCTCCACTCCCAAAGACATAACTGTTATAATGTTTAGCCTTTAAGACATTAAAAAAACTGTTGATATACAGAAATGTTATATTCTTGTACCTAATAGATGGAATGAATGTATGAAGAACTGGAGTGGAAGAGTCAAATGTGGAAGATGTAGAGGTATTTGGGTCCAAAAAGTCTAGGTTTGTGTGTCTAGGATGAGATAGACAGAGAGAGAGAGAGAGAGAGAGGTAGAAATTGTTCCTCTTTCGTCGGTCTTTATTATGATCCATATCTTGGCAAGTATCACAAACTTAGACGTCTTCTCGCCTCTATTCTTCTTTTTCTTCGTCAATCCATCCTCCTCTTCTATTATATTCGAAATTTTAGATCTATCTGTTGGATTTCATTCATTACCATTTCAGTCTCTAAACAAGCTTTTAGCGATATGTTTAGTAAATCTGCGTGTAGCGCTTCAACTTTTAAAAATGTCCAATGAATCGTTACCAATAAGTATATTTTTAAAATTTATTGTCTAATCATTTCTTTACAAAAATTATTCATACACTTTCTTTAAAAGAATTCTTGAAAGACAAAATTTGAAACAGAACATAAATTAAATTTTAATTAATTTTTTTCCTAAAAAAAAGAATGGTTTTGTAGAAATCTCTGTCTTGGTTGTAGTTTTCCAAATATGATGCGCTGTTGGCGTTCAGATTTCGATCCAATGGGACAAACTGCTAAGAATTATTGAGAGCGAGGCCCACACTGGTTAATTTAGTGAAAGATCATAGGTTTATATCTATTCGAAGGGTACAATATCATACCATTGGAGAGTCGCGATTGCTAACACAAAACGCCAATGGATTTTAAGAAAGGTAGATTTTAAGAAAGTAAGTTTATTGTTAGTTTTAAGAAAGTAAGGAAAAAGCAGCATTGTTTTAGTTTATTATTTGATGGAGTATACAATCCTCCATTGCTTTAAACCAAAAACGCCATTTTATGAAGAAAAAGAAGATTAAAGTTAAGTGACAAAAGGCGCATTATTCACAAACTTTCCATTCCCACTTCATTCTGTATACGTAAAATATAATGAAATCCCAATCCCCCAACCATCTTTATTCACCACTTTAATCCTCCATTCCTATCTTTATCACCCTCTTTGCCTATTCAAATCAATCCCCTAGTTGGTTCATGACATGGAAACCAATATCATTTTACATGCATTGCGTCTATCCTCCACTTCTCTTTCGACCTTGCCTCTCCTCTCCAATGGCGCCTCATAATCTTCCATAATCCAATCTCACGCCCACAAAGCTAACACCGACATGGACGCCGACCCGAGCAACAACGCCACAAAACAACCCCTCTTCAGCCGTTGATTTGAGCTCATCATCTTGTTGTGGAAAAAATCTACTGCTATTAGATCCACCAGAGCCATGTATATTAGAATCCCCGACGAAAATGAACCCAATAATCCCTCCATGATCAACGCCTTGGGGCTGCTGTCGTCGTACCCTGTTATTGAAAACAGTACCATCCCTAATACTATCCCCATTGGCGTTGTTACTGAGAACATGAAACACATATACGACGTCGTTGTGAAGCTGAATCCTGCCTGCAACAATCCACAATTCTCTAATTCCATGGACCTTATCTTGATTCATGTTTTGATTGTATAGATAGTTAATTAATTATTACCTGAGCAATACAGCCGCCGAGGCCCATTCCTTCAAAGATCTGATGAAATGAAAGAGCAGCCACCAGAGGCTTAATTGTGCACTGATTTTGGGACATTCCCATCGTAACTCCGATGATTACAGAGTGAAAAATAATCCCAATTTCAAGAACTTGAGACACGAGTTTCTGCTTCAATTTCACCAATTCCTCCTCCCCTTCTCGCCGCCGGTGGCAACTCCCTCCCCCTAAATCCCCCATCTCCGATTTCGAATCCACCGACACCAGAAACCCAATATCCCCTGCAGAGTCGGTGCTCGGTTTCTCCTCTATCTCCACCGGATTGTAGTGGCTGTGCTCCACGTGCGACGTGGCGGTGACGTCGACGAGAAGCGCCAGCAGTGCGCCGATCATGGTGACCAGACCGCAGAAGGGGAAATCCCGCCATGGGTGTTGGGAAGCCACTTGGCAGTCAGAGAGAGCGTCGAAGGCGTCGGGGAGGACGTGGACGAGTGAGGTAGAGAGAATCACGCCGGCGGCGAAGCACTTGATGATTAGAATCGCTTTGTCGTAAAGGGGTTTTCCGTGGAAGAAACGGGTGAGGAGGACTGGTAAGGAGACGCCGATGACGCTGGTGAAGAAGATGAGGAAGATGGAAATGAACTTGAGGTGGGCGGCGGCGTGGCCGTCGCGACAGGCGGAGTCGCGGGTGAAGTCGGTGGAGCAGGCGGCGACGGCCATGACGGAGAGAGAGGAGGAGGAGGAGGAGTGGAGGAGGAGAAGGGCGCGGTGGAGGTTTTTGAGTTTGTGGACAAAGAGTGGGTTGAGGGTTTGAAGGCATTAAATGGAGTGGGAGTCCACTGCCTTAAATTTCATTACATTTCCATCTTTGTAAGATTAGTCTCACTTTTAACACACCTTTACTTCACCATACATAGTCACGTATTTTTCTTCCTTGGTCGCGATAACTTTAGTCTTTTATCGAGTCAAAACGTGTTTATGACCTTTTACTGAGGTTTATCAACTGACAAGACAACTTAGACAAGTCCCGTGTCAACAAATACCTATCAGTTCTCCTAATGCTTCATAATGTCACTACGAGAATTAGAATAATATTGACCTACATAGCATGCTATGGCATGCTTATTTAGAGTTGACTTCATATTTGAGGCCTCTTGTATGTTCCTCCATTCAAACACTATCGAGGCATGAACTATTTCGTGTCCATGACTAGTCATTTTTGTACACTTTGTTGAACTTGATTCTACAACACAACCTCCAACTCTCTAGAGGGGTCAATGTCAACACACTTGTGCACTCGACATCGTCCTTGAGATCAAAGGAGCTAGAAATATGGTAAACTATAAGTCTATTGTATTTGAACATGTCCAACATCCTCCTGAGCTAGGCGTAAGCTGTGGTAGTCTAGGCTCATCCCCTTATAAATTCAAGCTCAAATTTGGTTTCTTTTTTAATTGGGCCAGTGGGGAGTGGCCCACAATTCTCAGGCCCAAATGGTTTATTTAATCCATTCAGATTGCCCTAATTCTCATGCCCAGGCCCAGAAGTGTTCGTGAGTTAGGTTTAAGTGTTCGTGAGTATGTTTTAGATCTAATCCAATTGTTAAAATGGTAAATCCTAAAACCGTGAACCGTAAACCCTAAATCCATCCAAAAATCTATTTTCAAATTTCTGTTTTTAATAAACATAAAATATTAGTTCGTAAAATAGTTATTAAATATTTTTCAAACATTTAATTTGTAAATATTACACGGGTACGTTCTTCTTTTGTAAATTCACCCGCCACCCTTCGTTTGATGATTTTTCCGAAGATAAAAGGTGATTTATAATTTTTTTAAAAAAATGGGAAAATAAATATACACATATATTTTTCCTTTTGAGTTGATTATCGTCAACAAGTCTCATAAGGAAACTAATTATTGAGAAAAAAAAAATCATTAATTATATGACATTTTCCACATAATCATAAAAATTACCAAAAGTTCCCAAAAATATTAATAATATACATAAAACCCTCCACCACCTTGATGACAGCCACAGGCATTAAAATGTGACATATTTAATATAGAAATAAAAAGCCAACCAATGCTAATCCTTCAAATTCAAAAAAAACATACCGGCAAGCAATCCTGGCCGTTTATTATGATCCAATCCCATTAGAAGAAATGTGAATGGATTGGATTCAGTTTTCCAGCATCCTAAATGGGTTCGATTTGTCGGCCATTTCTGGGCCATTCTCTTCCAATTGGAAAGAGCTTCCACCACCACCGCCTCTTGTGCTGTTGCTGTTTTTCAGTGTTTCCAGCCGTTTTAACTGATATGCTTCGTAGATCTCCTTCAACATGTTTCTCTCCCTTTTCAGCTCCTCGTATTGGGCTGTAAAAACATTAAATGTTTGGTTGTGTTTCTTTTCTCGGGTCAACTCGATTCTTAGGCTTACCGTTTAAAACCGCTGTCTATTCGGGAGAGTTTTCACTCTATTATAAGGAATGCTTTTGTTGGGAGAGGTTTTCACGCGCTTATAAGAAATGTTTTGTTCTCCTCTCCGACTAATATGAGATCTCACAATCCACCCCTTTTGGAGGCTCAGGGTTTTAAAATGTATTTATTCGAGAGACGTTTCGCACCCTTATAAGTAATGATTTGTTGGGAGAGACTTCTACGTTTTTATAAAAAAAATGTTTTGTTCCCATCTATCATTAATGGAAGATCTCACAATTCATTCCCTTCGAGACTCTACATCCTCACTAGCACACTGCAGGGTGTATGACTCTGATACCATTTGTGACAGCTCACGCCTACCACTAGTAGATATTGTCATATTTGGCCCGTTACAGCTTCACGGTTTCAAAACGCGTCTACTAGAGAGAAATTTTCACATTCTTATAAGATATGTTCCATTCCCCTCTCTAATTGATAATGAGATCTCACACATTTAAAATATTTAAGGTTTGTAACCAATATTAACAATGAGATACTCCTCGTACATGCTTGATATTTCAACTTTGAGATCTTAGTTGTTAACGTGGTTAATAATTATTATTCGTTTAAATAATTTATAAAAGGAAAAACAACCGGACAACTCAATCTAATTCAATCCAGGAGGGTTGGGTTGAGTTGTAAACTCTATTTAAGTTGTTCGGGTGGTCAATTCAACCAACTTGACCAGCATATGTATGAAAATATATACCAAAATAAGAAAGAAAAAAAAAATTACCTTCTTTGAACAGAAGTTCACCGGCGTAAGAGGATAATTTCTCTTTGATGGAGTAATTTTCGGCTCGGAGCAGTGAATTTTGGCGGTCCATGAATTTGATCCTCGGTGAGGTAATTGTTACTTCAGCCTGTTAGTGATTAATTAATTAGCTAATCAATAATTAAGTTGTACTTAAACTAAGATTTGTGTTATTACTTGAAGGGCTTTGAGTTCCGATTCAAGCTGTGTAATATAATGAAGCTGTTTGAGTCGATACTTTTGTGAATATTGTCTGCTTTGCATCACCCTAGTAAAAAAAAAAAAACAAACAATAGTAAATATTAACATTTTAACCTATAAAGTAAATAATACAAAAAAAAAATTAACCTTCGCAGCCGCCTGGCTTCCACGTTGACGTCCTTGTCAGAATCTGGAAGTTGCAATCGGTGTTCATTGAGTGGCGGCGGCGCCGTAGGTTCCCCTCCGGAGAGGAAGATTTTGTCATTTCCATTTGATTGAAAGAGGTGTAGCTTGTCTCCGGCGGTGGTGGGGGTGGGTTTTCCCAAGCGAGAGCGTGGCAAGGGCGGGAGAGGGCGGAGGATGGCCGGAATTCCGGCGGGTTGAGCCATTCTCATATGGAAGGTGTCCATGGGGTAAAAGAAATGGGGAAGGAAGTGATTATGAAAAGAAATGAAGTTTTTGTGTTATAATTATAAAGAATTGATTAATGTGATTGTTTATCTATCTCTTTTGTACACCTATGAGTTGCAATATTTGCAATAGACTTCAAGTTCATACCATCTAAAGCATGCCCTTGCTTATCATCTAAATTAACCATAGGGTTAAACTAATTAAATAATTATTTATTTCTTCCGCGTTCTCGATTATCATCGATGATACTCTACCTCCTTCAAGATTAAGAGATTTAGGAGTGTTCATGGATCGAGTTGAGATCCAATTTTTTGAGTTGTTCGTGTTAGACGAACAACGACTCTTCACAATGGTATGATACTGTCTACTTTGAGTCTAAGCTCTCGTGGCTTTGTTTTGGACTTCCCAAAAGGTTCCATATTAAAGGAGAGAGTATTATTCAACTATAAACTTATGATAATTTCCTAAATTAGTCGATGTAGGACTTTCATCATCCAATACCTCTCCTTTATCAAGGCACGACTCCTTTTCTTTTGGAGTCCTTTGTTCGACATTTTGAAGATTTACCAATCTATTGACACGACTAAATTTATGGCATGACCCAACTCTCCACAATGGTATGATATTGTCCACTTTGAGTATAAGCTCTCATGTCTTTATTTTGAGGCATGTGTTCGTCTAACCATTCAAACATTTATTCAAAACAATATATTCATTTTAGTTATTTTCAAACATTTAATTGAGATTCATAAGTATATATTTAAAAAAATCACATTTGATTATTATATAAATAATTATGAAATTAAATAAAAATATTTTAAAGAATAATAAATTTAAGTGGATTCCGTTCAACTCAATAGCTAACTCAATCTATAAAATTTTAATTTAATTAAATCCAATCCAACTCGATGTAAATAAGTTCATGATTATATTAAGTTGAGTTGGGTTGATCAGACTTTTGAACATCCTTAACGATATAGAGTATTAATTATAAATTATTTTTTTATAAAAATAGTAGTAAAGTAATATTGGAGGAAAGTTTCTAAGTATAGATATTAAGAATTAAACACAAACTCAAACACTGATTAAATATATAATAAATATAAATATATATATATTAGGAGGAATCTTAGTGGGCTTATTATAGAGAGGCCCAATTGGGCCCATGAAAGTAGGCGGCCCAAATTAAAAACAATATGTACAGAAATGGGAAAGGGGAAGGTCCAGCTAATCAAAGAGTTCCCAATCATGAGTTATTTTTGTAGAAGTAATCGGAGGAATGAGAGTGCCAAATCCACATTCAATTCTCAACCCATTTGAGTTTCTTCCATTCTTCATGTTGTCGAGTCTATCCACGTAATTCTGTACTCTAATCACCTGTTTGTGTTCCCACCGAAATATGTTTTAGTTTTGACTGAGCTATCGAAAATGAATGTGTACCTTGTTTATATAGATAGTAATAATAAAAGAATTCTTTTAAGTCTACTACGCATATGGTTCTCTTTCGACTTCTCCTTTCAAAGTTTTTTAAAACATGTTTGCTTAGGAGAGATTTCCACACCCTTATACAAAATGGTTTGTTTCCCTTTTCAACCGACGTAGGATCTCACAATCCCCCTTTGAGACCTTAATGTCCTTGCTACCACTCTTTAATCGATATGTGAGATCTCACAATTTAGCGTCCTTACTGACATTATATGTAAATTACACTACGACTAACATATTAAAAATAAATAAAACTTAAAAAACATATTTTGAAAAATTAAAAAATTCTAGAAACTTTTTTTTTTTTTTTTTTTTTTTGGAATTTAGTATATTATGTTCAGAGTTGTGGGCCCAAATAAAGGCCCATGATCGAGGTGGAGAATCCTTCATGGTAAGTTTATAATTTTTAAAATTTAAATAGAATCATTAGTTTGTAATAAAATGTCCGACCTAGAAATGTCAGATCAAGGGTAAAAATGTAAAATCCTTTGTCCTCTCGTCTCAAAATAGAAATATGATTAAGATTTTATTTATTAATATTATATATATAAAAAAAAAAACTAACCTGAGTTCTCAGCAATTTGGCATCTCCGTTAATCTCAATTGCATCCAATTTCAACAACTGCATCATCAACATATCTATCAATCCATTTACTTCTTTCTCCTCCACCGTTCTCCCGCCGTTAACCGCTCCTTCCACCGCCGCAACCTACACCCACAAATGGTTAGAAATCAGGATTCTCCACTATGATACCATATTAACTGGCTCGAAGGAATGAGTTAAGAACCTTCTGGAAGAGTTTGTCGATCTCCGCCGTGATCTCCGCCAGAGCATCACCGACCGCCGTCGTAGTCCTCTTATTCATTTCCAGCTTCCTCTCTTTACTGGCCGGATCCTCCATCAAAACCACTTTCGACATGTCGTTAACACCCGCCATGTGCAAACACTCGTCGTTCTCCTTCTCCTTCCCTCTAAACAACAATCTCTGTTCCCTCGGCTCCAATCCTGTCTTCTGCCGGAGAAGCCTCTTCAAATCCCCTTCCAATTACACCCATCAATCAACTCTGTCAGTCTCTAATAGCCATTGATTTCGAATCAAACGAATTAAAAACCAAATACAATAGATCGACAGTACCGAATGTGGAATGGGCGTCGACGGTGAGGAGCTGATGGCAAGAACCGTGAGAGATTTTGATTCTAATGAAACGATCCGAACCCGACCCGATGTGTCGTTTTTGAACAATCATTCCGCCCGGTCGGAGCTCCCAATCTATATCTTGTCGGAACTCGTCGTTTCTTGGGACTGGTTTTGAAGAGGATGTTTTCATGGCGGTCTTGTTGACTCTGGCAAATCGGATGTCGACGAAAAAAAAATTGGCCGAAGGTTTCTTCGAAGGAAAAATTAGCGGAAGTAAAAGGAGAGAGAGAGAGAGATTCGCTGGTAATGCTGAAGACTCAATATATTATTTTACATCCGTTGAATGGTTTAAATAATAAATCTAATTACAAAAATAGAAAAACCAAATATACACAAATAGAATAAGTGGACGAAGACTCCGCCACTCTGCCAAAACAATGGCCCCTAGAATCACGCTCCTCCATTCGCGTGAACTCATATGTTTTTACAAACCTAACTAAATAAGGCAGAGCTTTTATTTAACAATCTCCTCCTAAAAGCTGTACCTTATTATTTGAACTCCGATCTTTGAGCGTAGTTCTTCAAATTTCACCCGCGCCAGGGATTTGGTGAAAATGTCTCCAAGTTGTTCCTCTGTTCGGATGAAATCAATTTTGATGAGCCCTCGATCTGCACATTCTCGAATGTAGTGGAATCTGATTTCTATGTGCTTGCTCCGGTCGTGCAAAACTGGATTTTTGATCAGGGAGATCGTAGCTTTGTTGTCTATGTATAGCATTGGTGGATCGCTTTCTCTCCCGATGATTTCTTCCATTAGTCGTGCAAGCCAGATCCCTTGAGTTGCTGCCATCGAAGCGGCGATGTATTCTGCTTCGCAGGAAGACAAAGCAACTACCTTCTGTTTTGTTGATTGCCAGCAGATCGCGCCGCCTGAGAGAAAGTAGATCATTCCGCTGGTGCTCTTACGATCATCAACGTCACCGGCCATGTCACTATCGCTGTAGCCGACCAGTTTGAGTTTCTCCTTTTCGCTCCCAGCGCAGTATCTTACGCCCCAGTCTCTGGTTCCGGCTACATAGCGCAGGATGCGCTTGACAGCCACTAGATGCTCCTCCCTAGGTGCTTCCATAAACCTACTCACATATCCAACAGAATAAGCAAGATCAGGACGAGAGTTTACCAGATAGCGCAGACTCCCGACAATGCTGCGGTAATTGGTGGAGTCGACTGTCGTCGTAGTGCCGGCCTTCCTTAGTTGAAGTCGGGCCTCCATTGGCGTCCTGGTAGGATTACTGTCCATAAGCCCAGTTGTGTCCAGCAGCTTTCTCGCGTATGCACTTTGGCAGATGGAGATGCCGGAAGAGTTCTGTTGCACTTCGATGCCGAGGTAGTAGCTGAGCACACCGAGATCGCTCATCTCGAAGTTTTTCGACATCTCCTTCTTGAACCTTCCGAGGACTCCCACGTCGCCTCCAGTGATTATGAGGTCGTCGACGTACACTCCCACGATCAGTCGCTTTTTGCCGTGGCCGTACGTGTACATGCCATGCTCAGAGGCACAACGTTTGAAATTCAGTGACAGTAGGGTACTGTCGAGCTTCGCGTTCCAGGCTCGTGGGGCTTGTCGAAGCCCGTAGAGTGCTTTGTGCAGGCGCAGTACCTTATTAGGGTTGTCGTTATCCAGGAAGCCAGGTGGTTGTCGAACATAGACGGTCTCCTTCAACTCTCCGTTAAGGAAAGCAGACTTTACGTCCATATGGTGAACCTCCCAAGAGTGATGTGCTGCAATTGCCAGCAGGAAACGAACGGATTCTAACCTTGCTACTGGCGCAAATACCTCTTCGAAATCCACTCCTTGCTTCTGGACGTAGCCCTTCGCCACCAGACGAGCCTTGTGCTTCACAACTTCTCCTTTTTCGTTGCGCTTCAGTTTGAAGACCCATTTGAGCCCTATGGCTCGGTGTCCCGGTGGCATATCCTCCAGACTCCACGTCTGGTTCTCAGTGATGGATGTCATCTCCTCCTGCATTGCCTTCCGCCAGCACGGGTTCTTTTCTGCTTCGGCGAAGGTGTTTGGTTCATCTGCACTGACGGCATGTAGTTCGGCCACTTCCTCGAGCTCGCGCGCTGCTAGTCCAGGTGGTTCACCTCCTCCCACTAGGTCATCCATCCTCCGGTACCTAGCCTCCAGATCAGTATCGTGATCGGCATCCAGCGTCGAATCCGCAGTCCGTGGTGTTGCGAATTCCACTGGTTCATGTGGTGCACCTGCTGGCGGCGGTGACGTCTCCTGATGCTGGGCTCCTCCTTCTTCAGGCTCAGTGACGAGGTACTCCACCGTGAATTGATTTGGATTACGGTCTGCCTCGATCACGTCATTCCACTGCCAGAAGGTGCTTTCGTCGAAGACGACGTCGCGAGACACGTGAGCTCGCCCCCCCACAGGATCATAGAGTCTGTACGCCTTGCTCCCGGGTTCGTAGCCGATGAAGACGACCTTCAGCCCCCTGGGATCGAGCTTGGCGAGATGGGGACGTGTTACCTTCATGTATGCGACGCAGCCGAACACGCGAAAATGGTGTACTGTTGGTTTTTTGTTGTACCAGGCTTCATATGGCGTCTTCCCGTCGAGGCTTCGGGTTGGTGACCGATTGAGGAGATAGACAGCCGTCATTACTGCCTCTCCCCAGAATCTCCCAGGCATCCCGGCCGTCACCAACAATGACCTCGCTGTCCCGACAATGGTCTGATTTCGGCGCTCTACCACTCCGTTCTGTTGGGGGGAGTAGGGCGCCGTTAGGTGCCGTTGTATGCCGACCTCATCGCAGTACTTACTGAAACTTGCCGAGGTGAATTCTCCGCCACGGTCTGTGCGCAGCACTCGCATCTTCTTCTCACATTCGGCCTCCGCTCGCGCTTTAATGCGCTTAACCGCCTCTGCCGCCTCACTTTTCGCTTGCAGCAAAGTCAGCCACATGAAGCGGCTTTTGTCATCGACTAACAGGAGGAAGAGACTCTTACCGCCTGGGGTCGCCGGCTTGATGGGCCCGCAAATATCGCCGTGTACAAGCTCCAATGGCTCATCGGCTCGGTAGGCTGTTCGAGACGGAAAGGGTGTGCGCTTCTGTTTGCCGATGAGGCACCCGTCGCACAGCTTGTTCACGCCTTTGATTTCTGGCAAGCCGTGCACCAACTCCTTCTTCTGTAACTTTTCTAGGGCAGGAAAGTTTAAGTGTCCGTACCTTGCGTGCCACCTCCAAGATACCTCTTCGGTCTTGGCCGAGAGACTAACGGGTTGGTCTATCTCTAACTCCAGGATGTAAAGACGGTTTGTGGTTCGTCTTGCCTGCGTGAGCAGCCGTCGTTGATTATCGCAGATTTTCAGTAGTCCGCGCTCGATGGAAATGAAGCAGCCTGTCTCATCGAGCTGACCCAGGCTCACAAGGTTAGCCTTGAGCCTCGGGATGAAGTAGACGTCGGTCAGCTTGCGATGCTCGCCTCCCTTACTGACGAACAGGATGGTGCCGCGCCCTTCGATCTCGACGACGGAGCCGTCGCCGAATTTCACCGTCCCACGGATCCCCGAGTCGAGCTCGGAGAACGCAGATCTAGCCCCGGTCATATGGTTTGTTGCCCCTGTGTCAAGGATCCATTGCTGGTGCTCGTGTTGCTCGTCCCTTTCGCCGATCTGAGCGAACACTCGCTCCTCCTCCAGTTGAATTGGCTCCCCAGTTGGTGCCAGCTTTGCTACGCCCAACTGGAGCTCTTTCTTGGGTTCAAGATCGTCGTCGGAGTTGGAATCGAAATTGGGGACGCATGCGGTTACCATGAAGAGAGCTGGCTCGTCCTCCTCGGATTGAGCCACATGGGCCTGGGCCTTTTCGGCCTTCTCCTTATTCCTCAGCTTGCTCCAGCAATTTCTGCCCAGGTGTCCTCTCTTCCCACAGTTCGAGCAATGGATCGGCCTGCCATTGGTCGACTCCTTCTTTTGATTCTCATCTTTCCCGCGCGTGCGCCCGTGGGACATCCATGGCTTCTTACCGCCTTTGCGGCTGGAGGAGGACCCGTTGCTCTCGCCGGTGTTGTCGCGGAGCTTTAGGCGTGCAAGCCATTCCTCCTCCGTGAGGAGTAGACGGCCCTCCTTGTCAACAGCTGAAGTGATATTCTTCTTCCGCTGCTCGACGTTACGTAGTCTTCCGGTCACCTCTTCCACTGTTAGGTCGTTCACGTCAAGCAATGTCTCGATTGAAATCGCGACTTGCTCGAGGTGATCGGGAACGACCTGCAACATCTTCTTCACGATTTCTGTCTCGCTGATGCCACCACCGAGGGTGGTGATGCTGTTGGCGAGCCCCGTGATCCGCATTGAAAAATCATCGACGGATTCGCCGTCCTTAAAGCGAATCTCCGAGAGCTCCTTTCGCAGTTGCTCGATGTTGGATTCCCGCACTCGCTGTACACCGACCCGACGGGATTTGATTCCCTCCCAGGCCGATTGTGCGGTGCGCTTGGTGGAAAGAGAAGCCAGCATCTCTGGGGGCACAGATCGTAATATGGCGGCGAACGCCAGCCGATCCTCCCGGTACTCGATTGTTTCTCCTTCCTCTGGCTCGACAGCGTGCCATAACCCTTGCGCCTGTAGGTTAACACGCATCAACAAGGCCCACTCGTTGTAGTTGGACCTTGTCAACATCGGGTACTGAACGACGGCGGTCGTTGTCTCTCTGATCACTCGCTCAACAACTACTCGACGCCCGTCATCACGATGTCGGCCACGGCCTCTTCGTGGTGGTGATGGAGATGCCGGCACTTGGCGGCGTGGAGGAGTGAGCGAGCCTGCTTGAGATGGGCCCCACGATGTATTTATTTTTGTGCTTTGCATTTTCTTCTACTCGAACCTAAGACCTGTGTGTTATTAGATCGACGCTCTAACCACTTGAGCTATTCAACTTGATTGTTGATAGGTTGGCTCTTCTGTGATGGTATACTACCGATCGCTTCAACCAGGCTCTGATACCACTTGTTGACTCTGGCAAATCGGATGTCGACGAAAAAAAAATTGGCCGAAGGTTTCTTCGAAGGAAAAATTAGCGGAAGTAAAAGGAGAGAGAGAGAGAGATTCGCTGGTAATGCTGAAGACTCAATATATTATTTTACATCCGTTGAATGGTTTAAATAATAAATCTAATTACAAAAATAGAAAAACCAAATATACACAAATAGAATAAGTGGACGAAGACTCCGCCACTCTGCCAAAACAATGGCCCCTAGAATCACGCTCCTCCATTCGCGTGAACTCATATGTTTTTACAAACCTAACTAAATAAGGCAGAGCTTTTATTTAACAGGTCTCTGTTGCGGAACGATTTCGTGAATTGCAGAAAGGGGCGCGTCGAAGTGTCAGTGGAGTTTAAGAAAGGGACCTCCAAGCAGACATTACAGCCAGCGGTTGGTCGGTTGCCATTACGATTGCAACTTCTTCAAGTTTGGGGATAAAAAAGGAGGACATGTCCACCTGGATAGGTACGACAGTTTCTTTTCAATTGGGCCCAGGTTTGTTGCTGCTGGCCCACGTTTTTGGGCTTTCCAGTCCCACATCATATGGGCTTTGCTACGGATTGGTGTGAAATGTGGGCTTGGTGGGCTCGATACGAGTCGCAATGATATTAGGCCCAAGCCCATGGGTATCAAAGTGGGTTCTGATGTTTCTAGTGTTAATTTGAATAATAGTTAAATTTCGAACACAAATTGGTTGGGGACCCGAGCAACGTAAAAAGAGTTCACAATTCGACCCAACTCAACTTAAAAATGGAGGGTTTTTTTTTCATTTAATTATTAAAAACTCATATTTGTTACTATACATATTATATCATTAACTAAAATCTCATAAAATTCAAATATCAAACATTTACAAGTTATAATGAATTACTACAGGTTACAAATTCTAAATATTCTTCATGTTTTTAAAAGCATGTTTTTAGGTTGTGTTAGATTGTGTCTCTATTTCTGGATAGGTCTAGTTGACCAAACCAAAAAAAGTCAACTCCGACCAAATTTTCAAATTGTCAATAATTCATCACAATTCAAATAGAGAAAAATAAAAAATCTAACCTAACCTAACAAAATATTACATAGGAATGGATAGTCCAAATTCATTGGGTTTATGATGAGATAAAATAGAAAGTAAAATGAGTTTTCTAAAACTTTCTTCTCGAATCAGGGTCAGAGGGTCGAGCAAGAACGAATAGACTTGACACATGGCTGCTGAGAAGTGAGTGTCACACCATCGTAAACCTCTCAATTAATGAATGGTATATTAGTCCTTTAAAACATACAAATTAGTAATAAATAATTATTTTAAAGTTTTATCTTCATAATTAAATTTTGGTTAGGTAAGAAATAAAGAAATTTGGAATTATTTAAAAAAAAAATTGAATATGTGGGAAATAGAGATTTATAAAAATATAAAAATAAGAATGTGATTTATTTGAATAATATTTATAAAGTTTGTTGAATGAGTTGGCAATTAATGAAGTTATTGGGGGTAAAAGTATGATAATTTTGGAAACATTTTATAAAAAGTTATATCTCAAAGTTAGAAAAAGAAATAAAAAAGATAATAAAATATAAAAAAGGAGTGAAAGGGTTAAAATAAGAAATGCATGAATATTTAGGAAAGGGAGGGGGAGGGTGTGGTCCACATTGAATCATGGGAAACCTTGGATAAAAAATGCCAGCCTGCCCTTTCTAACTCTTTTATGCCTAATAAAACTACCTTCCCCACCCCCACACACAATCATTCCCCTCTAACCTAACCTAACCATTCGCCCCCACACATCGTACCTTCCTTCCTCTTTTCACCTCCACTTCCTTATACATGGCTCCCGTGATTAAGACGTTAATAACTCCACTTAAAAGTGGATAGTTACGAGCCATAATTAGAGATGTTTTTGAGACAGACCCCTATAAAATTTAGGGTTTAGGGTTTGAGACAGACCCTAAACCCTAAAATCTTCATCCGTGGCCCTGTTTTCCTCTCTCTCACTCTCATTTTTTTACCTTAATTTCAGCACACGTAAGTTAAATGGCATGAAAATTCTTTTATTTAAGTAATGGGTTCTATGTTAGATTCAAATCGTTATAAAATTTGTATTTTTGTGGGTAACTATTCAAAACTAACTAGTTGTACTAAGTATAGGCATCGATAATTAGCATGAGCATACCGTAGTGGGGAGCCTTCGACTTTCTTTTAAATTTATTTTGTTCAAAGAAAATTATTTTTTAATCTATAAATTTTTAAATAAATCTAATTTTTTAAAATTAATATTAAAATTTTATGTCTAATATGAATCTTAAAATTTATAATTTAAAAACTAAAATAAAACCTAATTTTTTGGACTAATTATTAAAAAAGTATATAAAACTTTATTAAATTTGATTTAACAGTGCCTTTCTTATCATTCACTACACGCTTGACAGGCTGTGGTGGAGGGCCCCTCTTGACATCATTTTGCAACTAAGTACATAATAAACAAAAAAAAATAGTTCCACAAATAATGGAAATAATAATAATAATAATAATAATAAGCTTCATTTATTTTATATATTTACTTATGTTTTTAAGACTAAGAAATTATGGAAGCAATGGACCGCCCAAAATTAATAATCAAATGGAAAGTAAAAAAAAAAAAAAAAAAAAAAAAAAAAAAAAAAAAAAAAAAAAAAAAAAAAAAAAAAAAAAAAAAAAAAAAAAAAAAAAAAAAAAAAAGAAAAAAACCCAAAAAACTTCAATAATTTCTTGTCATAAATATGTTTTTTCCCTTTATAGTAAAAATTTCTAATTTTACGAAGTACTCGAGATTCTCTTTGTAGGATTACCTACTCAAACCGAGACCCGTTAGCCAAAGCAATTATTGCTAACTTGACATGATTTTAAGAGGTTCCAATTTACTCAAAACGATCATATGGGGTGAACAAAATTTGAGGATCAGATGTGAGCGTAATTTCCACTAATGATTGAGATGTTGAATCGACTAGTTCCCCGCCAGCTATATTTATATATTGGTAATTGGATAATTAATAAAGAAAAAAGGGAGAATTTTTGTGAGGGCAGATATAGTTATCCTAACATGGTCTGCCTATATTAAGTAAAAGAAAAATTTAACAAAGGGTAAATAAGAGACAACCAACACGTTCTATCATTAATCACTTTGAAAATTAGGTTGATGTTGATACCATTTACAATCCCCTTCTTCCCTCTTATTATATAAATTCTGGTTGGTTCTTATAATTATCATTCATTCTATCTTATCATTTCATCATTATTGAGTAACGTTGTTGTTTTTCTCTTAATTTAAGTTCGATCCATTTTTTAATTAATGGGGTCGAAGAATTTCGTTATACGAAACTACGAAGAGAGTCGATTATCAGATAGAGCTCAAGTAGCTGATCTCGAACAACGATGCGAAATTGGGTCATCAAAACGTGTATTTCTCTTCACTGACACATTGGGTGACCCCATTTGTAGGATTCGTCACAGTCCCTTATATAAAATGCTGGTAATTTAATTTCTTCATTTTTTTAATTATTCAATATTTATATTTTAATCGGTTGAGTTAGGTGGCAGAATGGAACAACGAGGTGGTTGGAGTCATTCAAGGCTCGATAAAGACAGCTTTTTCTAGTGCTCATAAACCGCCGGGTTTGGCGGCGAAAGTGGGCTACATTCTTGGACTGAGAGTTGCGCCGCCGTTTCGCCGCCGTGGGATTGGATGCAGCCTTGTCCATGATTTGGAAGATTGGTTTGTAGCTAATGACGTTGATTACTGTTGCATGGCTACTGAGAAAGATAATCATGCCTCTGTTAATCTCTTCATTAATCACATGAGGTATTCAACTAAACATGTTTTTTTTAAAAGTAATTAAATCTCTAATTATGAACTAATCACTCATAATTCAAACAGGTATGTAAAATTCAGAACAGGAAGAATTCTGGTGAACCCAGTAACAAATCATCCATACAAAATCAACCAATCAGAAATCAAAATTCAAAAGCTGAAAATAGAAGAAGCAGAAGAAATTTACAAAAAACACATGGCATCAACGGAGTTCTTCCCCAAAGACATAAACAGCATATTGAAGAACAATTTGAGCTTAGGGACATGGGTAGCACATTACAAGAAACAGCCGCCACCGTGGTCGGCGGCGGCCGACATACCCTTGAGCTGGGCTGTGGTGAGTCTATGGAACAGTGGGGAAGTTTTTAAATTAAGGCTAGGAAAAGCTCCATTTCCATGGGTGGTTTATACAAAGAGCTTAAAAATGATGGACAAAATGTTGCCTTGTTTGAAGGTGATTTTGGTGCCTGATTATTTCAAGGCATTTGGGTTTTATTTTGTTTATGGGTTGCATCATGAAGGGGCTTGTTCTGAGAGATTGGTTGGGGTATTGTGTGAATTTGTTCATAATTTGGCTTTGAGTAATGCGAAGGATTGTAAGGCTATTGTTACAGAGATTGGTGGGGAAGATGACGAGCTGAAGATGGCGATTCCTCATTGGAAATTGCTGTCATGTTCGGAAGATTTGTGGTGTGTAAAGGCCTTGAAGGGTGAGGAGGATAGTCTCTTGGAATGGAAAAATGGCCCACCAAATAGACCTCTCTTTGTAGACCCAAGAGAGGTATGAAAGAATAAATGAAAAAGGTTAAACCCTTTCGCGACACGTGGTCTCGATCTCGATTTAATCATTGCCTGTTATCAGGGTAGAATGAAGAAAGAAGAAAAACACGTTCATCTTTGTTGATTTTTGTTATAAGATTCGTAAAAACGTCTTTTTTAATTTATATTAGATCCGTAAAGTTATATTCTAAAATTGAAGTGGTACGAAGTTTTAGATTTTAAATATTGATATATAAATAGCTTTGATGTATGTGAAAAATCTCGTTATTAACTGATTGAACAACGGGAAGTAATTTATCTTTATACTCAGAGCATTTCTTCTATAATCATAGGTCCCTCATCGTGTTCTTCCATTGTAACATCCAAGTAAAGGAGGGATATATGAATAAACTGATACCACATTCGAATGAGAGTGATCCTAATGCTTAAAAGAATTTGAAAGTTATTATATATATACCAACAAGGTGCACCTTTCTTTTTGGTAGCTCAATCATAAGAACTCCAAATTTAAAATGTTTTGCCCGGAGCAATTCTATATTAGGATGCATGTGAGTGAAGACAAAACATGTTGGAAAAACTCTAGATATAGTTTTCTTCTAAAAGCAAGGAGTAAGTAACGTGACCCTTTCGCACGGGCATGTCGGGATATTAAGTGTCAAATTCGAATTTTGAATCATGGGAATGGGTCGTTATATCCATCTTTATATTGTGATTATTTTTGTTGATCGAAACATCAGTATCCACATCTCAATGCACTTTTTTTTGTTCCGTTCGCATCGATAAAAAAAAAAAAACCCTTGAGCTTAAAAGGCTTAAAGAGTATGGAATTATTAGGGTTTAAAGGAAGCCAAAAAGGGGTAGGAGGGAGTTTTGGAACATTAGGGTTTTCAAATGAGCCATGGATGAGTTAGGCCAAACCCCTATTCTTCCTAAAGTAGAAACATGTCTTTGCAATTTATGGGCTATGTGAAGGAGATTTTAAGTGTTTACATTCTAAAATTTGCTCATCAAATTTGGTGATTAATTATTGTTCATTCCCAAAACTAAATCCAAACATACACACCCAACTTCCATCTGTTTGTCTCGATTTTGAACTCGGGTGCTATTTCTGATACTCGTTTTTACATCGCTTCATCTTATGTCTACCACATTCTTTAGAAACAAACTTCTCCCTTTTTGGACCACTTGAAAGAATTAATGCACCATAAGACAAATATATAACTGTAAAGCGATAAGAATGGTACACGACCAAACAAATTTATATTAAACCAAATAACCAATAAATAACAGAGTATAGTTCTCGTAAGAGAATAGTTCGTTTCAAGTATCCATTAGTTTTTTCGATGGTACTTTTGCAATTCAGTAGGGGCAGGGCCCACCCGATTTGACTGACTTTTGGATAACAAGAAGGCGAGCCGATTCGCTTTGATCACCGACTTCATTTCACCAACAAAGAAGTCATCTTTCACGATTTTCGGACGTAGATTTTTATTCGGGCCATGATTTTAGTTGGGCCTTTGCCAATTTCATTTAAGCTCATAAATTTATATAAGCCCAAATCTTCGCGGCCCATTAATTTATTATATGGGCCGATCTGCGATCATTTATTCTGTTTTTGGGCCGCTTCCCTCGGCCCATTATAGTGTATTTTTATCAAATTAGTTTGCATTTTGTAAGTATTATATTTACTACAAATATTTGCGACAGAATTACATATATATATATATATATATAATTTGTATATCTTTTTAAATATTTTTTGTAATTTAAATATTTAATGCATTGAAAATTGAACTCACCTCAAACTCATTTATAATAATATTTAATTGTATTTTACGTAAAGGATGTTGGACTTTAAAAATAAAATCAAAGATTAATAAAATGTTTTAATCTTTTTATTTAATTGTACTTTACGTAATCAAATAATTGGCGTAAATAATTATAGAAAAAGAAACCCGGAATATAAATATTGAGAATATTTAACTACGGGGGTAATCACGTAATTTCGTCACATACATTTTACATTATGAATTATGCTATAAAACTCCGAAGGCTTTGTGTTGCAGTGGCGGCAAAAACGCTGCCATTGCGACCACTCACTCCGACTTCCACCATTACCGTCGCTCAATCCTCCGCCAGAACGTTAGCGTTTCGTTTTTTCCGATCATCAACTCTGATTCAACTCACAGCTTCTTCAAGGGGTTTCTTTCTCGCTCTCTGTTCCGCTCTGCTTTCGTTTGGTTTTCTGTTAATTTGCTACTGTAATTCGAGCTCAAATTTCACTCAATATTGACGCGGTGGAAACCTTAATGTTCTGGTTTCCGGTTGAGAAATTTTAGGTGACGGACTCAATGATTCTTCTGTTTCTCGCTTTACGAGTTGCGAGACCTTGGCGTTCAAGTTCGTAGGTTATTTTAAATTTTAGTTTGAATTTGGTGCTTTGAATTAGAAGTACAAAATGATTATATGCTTCCTCGTATTACTTGCAACCACCAGAATTCTACTTTGTTTTGAAAGCCGCTAAGATTCCGGACCTAAGGTTGTTCTAATCAGTTGAGCTGGACCTTACGAGTGACAGATGAAGACGAAATGGAAGATGGATTTTTTAGGTAATCAAGGAATTGGAAGAACGATTGTTAAAAAAATCATCACTAGGACATAGGATCAAGCCCAATATAATTGTACGAGCCAATGTCTATATATTTTAACAATAAATATTTATACATTTTAGAAATAAATCTACGAGATTTTCATCCCAAGTGTAATATCTATAGAGTTGTGTTCGACAACCATTCGATGTTCTTGGAGAAATGAATGACCGTGTTTCAGCGAGGGAATTTGAGCTCGTGCTTGCGTGCTTCTCCCAAGTGTAAATCTCCTCAATTTCTGATCATTGAGATTGCTTAGTCTACCTTCTTTAATCTACTCCTCTAGTTTACTCATTTAGGTGGTTAGTATTTTGATCTTATTGGATTTTGATTATGATCACTGTATTGAGATCAGATTTTTGTTGTGGTGACTTTCTTCAATGTGATAAAGGATATTTTCTGGCGTTGTGTTTGTGTTGTCACAATTGAAGGGGTTCTGGAAGAACTGTGCAAGTTTTTAACATAGAGCTAGATGGGCGTCCACTTGGGATGATGTATGGTTAAGCTGCGTTCTAATATGGTTATACATGTTTGAACCTACCGTTATGTTAGTGTTGGACATAAGTTTATTTCTGCAGACAAGGATTTGGAAAAACCATGAATAACTTCCTTCGGGTTTATTTCACCTGAACCTTGTTGTTGTTAGTTTCATTCACTGAAAACTTTTTGTTCATTGTCATTTTCTTTGGAGCTTATTTCCCCATTAGTCACATTATACCTCTTTCTGGTCTCTTCCATAAGTCATTTTTCAGTTGTTGAATTGGCTTTTGATGTTACTATTTATGTGTAATGGTAGTGGATTAGTTGCCCAGGGATTTTAAATAAGTTCTTTCAAATTGTTATGCTTGTTCAGTACAACTTCAAGTGAAATTCAATTGCTAATGATGATAATCAATCCTCCCAGGTTGATGGTGACTAAAGAGGTGCAGAGAAAATGCTGCTGCATCGTAGACAATCTGGATTAAACCCAGAGGTATACGGCTACCTTATCGCCTTGACTGCTGTGGTTAAAGAGTTTAATGAAAAAAGCTCTACACGAACTCGAAAGTTGTGCAAGAGAGGGGATAGTGGCTGAACTCGATAAAGACAACATTGAACTTGTTGAGGGGTATCAAACAGAGATTTTAGCTGATGGTGCACAGTTATCCAACTGGTTTCTTGAAGAGGTAAGCTCTTCAATTCATGGGGTGGTTCATGAAAGACTCCTAATGTATGCTTGTGCTGAGCAAGGACTTGAGGCAGAGAGATAGCTTTGGGAAATGAATCTTGTAGGTAAGGAGGCTGATGCTAATCTCTATGATATTGTGCTAGCTAGCCATTTCTGTATAGATTGTACAAGGAAAATAGATATTCTTAAATCCTTAGTGCAGGCTCTCGTTTCTTCAGTGTCTCAAGGGTGAAGAATCTGGTTTTCGCTGTGAATCAAATGCTAGATTGAAAAGGAAAAAAAACAGTCTACTTTTTCTAGGTGGATCGGGTCAAATGAGAACCAGAATAAGACAACCAAATAGAAAAAGGAGAAGATCAAGTGAATTGGGCCGGCTGTTTAAAGAAAGAGTTTGTGAAGCCTTGCTCGTGAACTCCGGAATGTTATGTTTGACAGCACCTTGGATGTGGCCTTCAGAAGACAACACATGGCCTGTCCCTTCGTTGGATATCCAGGTTTTACACCATTCCATTATTACAATACTCTGTTTAATGTCAATAATTTCTGTGCCTATATGATTGATGCAAGACGTCTTTTCTTATAATGTCAGTAAAAGGAACCAACCCAAAGTGTGTCGGTCGGGTTAATATATAAGATTAGGCTTAACTAACACCAAAACCATACATTGTGTTGAGGAGAACAAAAAAGTTGACGTCAAAATTGAGTATATATGTGGCTGAACTCATCAAATCAACCCACCCTATTACAGATGAGTTCAAATCAAACCGAACAGACTGAAGCTCTAAAAGGCTATCTAAGTTGAATTGCAAACAATAAAATCTACCCAAAATGATTTTCTTTAATTTTCTCTGCTAAAGATTCACATGGTTGGCTGAGGCAGGCATGGTACTGCCTAATTGTTGTTTGTTGTGTATAGTTTTATTATATGAAAGTTCCCATACAACACGCAGGAAAATTCCTGCAACAGAATATCCATGTGTTTACCTGTCCTGTTTCTGTCGCCACTCAGCTTCCATTATTCACATCTTCAAACCATTCGCTTCCCATTCCCTTCCCCTTCTGCTTTGGCATGTGCAATGTGAAAGAGCTTGATGATTATTCCTTGGGTCAAACATTTGAAGCCTGACCTTGTAGTTTCTTTTGTTAAAGGTGCATTTTATTAAAGAAAATGAGGTAACACAGCGATGATGCAAAACACACAGAAAAGCATGATCCTTATCTTTGAAGAGACATGCATATACACATTCATGTTGTGGAGCTTTTACAACATAGGCTTAGCAGCTTTTTCTATCTACAAGTTTCTTTTGTTACCACTTTGTATCAGGGGAGAACAGCATCTTCCCTACTCAACCCTGCTGCTATTTTACATTTTACAGCCAAGCAACCAATTGCTACAAGCCACAAAAAAAATTTCAAACCCTAAATGAAAGGATAGCATATGTTAACATTGAACTTGATGATCAACTTAAACTCAGCTTGTCTCTGTAGACAAGATTTCAAGTTCGGCCCACCATAGTGGAGATTCCCTTGGCATTGCTGCATCAGGTTCCAATGCTGTGATTTCTCTCAACCTTGCAGCAATTTCGGGCATTGTCAGTCTTTGCTCCAGCTCGGGCTGGACACACATTTTTATCACTTGAGACAAATTTTCAAGCTGTTCTTGTTTGAAAGAGCTTAGAATCGGATCAACTATATCTCTTAATGACTGTTCTCCCTTCAGAAAATCTGATGCCCAATCTGCAAGAGAGCCATTATCAACCGAGAATGGTATTCTACCTGTAATCATTTCTAACAAAATCACCCCAAAGCTATAAACGTTGCTCTCTGAATCTGCAGGTGAAGTTTCCAAGTGCTCCACCGTTGCTGATCCTAACTTTGCTGCTGTTGCTTCACTCCAGTAGCTAAAATCCGACAACTTGGCGGCATAGTCTTCTGTGAGGTAAACTGATGAAGAACAAAGATGTCTGTGTATGACAGGCGGATCGAGCTGGTGCATATGGTCTAAGCAGTATGCCACACCCATTGCTATTCGTAATCGCATCTCCCAGTCCAAGTGCTCTGCTTCTTTTACTGCAAGAAGGATGATATCATGAACTTTGGAAGAACAATGCACCTTCAACATGTTTTATACAGAAAAAAAACACTAACTGTGGAGATGCTCGAAGAGTGTTCCATTTGGAGCATATTCAAAAACCATCATCCTTGTGAATGGCTGTGCTTCTTCACAAAACCCGATGAGGCTGACAAAGTTCTTGTGGTTCACCCTTGATAAAGTTTCAATCTGCAAACATGAAGAAGAAAAGAAAGTTCAGGAATTTTCAAAACTATACTGATGAACATTGAAGAAGCTTTGTTTCCTTGTACCTTTTGCCTGAACTGTTCCTCTTTAGTTTTTGACCAATCTGCATTTGATGTCACTGCAGTTGATGTCACAGCTATTTCAACCCCGCTGGAAAGAGTTCCCTTATAGACAGTGATGTCTGAAAAGGATTCAATTATATTACTGAAGTCTTCACAAGCTGCTTCAAGTTCGGATCGTTTAAGCTTGGGGACACCTGAAATTACGACCCGTGTAAGTATCGAGCTAAAGATTTGAGGTATTCTTCTCTTCTCCAGTTTCTTTTCGTTTGAGGAAAGAAAGCAAACCTGTTACAAATGCCTTCTGCAGCTGTCCACTCAAACCTGTGGCCCAAGGCTTCACGGTAACAACCTTACTGCTTCGAAATACCAAAATGCTGACAGTTATAATTAAAAAGAACAACGATCCGGCTATAATTCCTGTCAACATTTGAATTTTGTGATTATTGTTCCTATTACTCCCCCTAATCAGACTTGGAGATGGAGCTGAGGAGTGTGGAGGAAACCAATGGGAGCGTGGCAGTGTGGGAACATGAACTGGTGTCCTTGCAGGAGCTGGCGCGGGTAGAGTTGGAGCTGCAGCGAGTGGTCGTGCAGGACTCAAACGAAGGCTAGGAGCAGGTGCTGACCTCCATGAGACTGGAGACTTTGCAGGAGATACCGATGGGGAACTCGGGGAAGGTGCTGGAGGGAATGGTGGATCTGAAGGTGACAATGGAGATGGAGATGGAGATGAATCAAATGAAGATGGTGGTAACGAAATGAAGGAAGGTCCCCGAGACGGGGATAACAGCCTCCTTCCGTTCATGTTAACTTGATTCTCTAATGATTGAATCCCTACTCCTAGCAGCTGCCTCCGGTAACCCACATCAGATAGCAAGTTGAGTTCATAGGCTTCAGGAGTTATGCTGCCAATGAATTCATTATGATCGAGAAGCCTGCAAAAACCATAAAAGAATCTCAGCATAGCCTGAAAGATATTGAAACCAATGAACAGAAGACCAGCCAGTGATTGAATCAATCCTTACAAGGTTGTTAGAGACAAGTTAATGCCAAGATCCAATGGAAATGGCCCAGAGAAATTATTGAATCCCAAATCCAAAACCTCCAATTCAAGTAACCCTCCAATCTCTTCAGGAACTCCTCCATGGAACGAGTTGTTCCTTAGAATGCTGCAACAAACAAGAACACACCCAAAAATTGAGCTTGGAAGAAGATTAAGCTCAAAAAAAGACCATTGTTTCTGCTACTTACATGGATTTGATGTGTGGCAATTTGCCCATTTCCGGTGCCAATGTTCCTCCAAGACAAAGATCTCTCAAATCCCTGCAAGTTCAATAAAAAAAAAAAAGCTCAACATTCATGGCCAAATCCTTCAAAACCTCAAAACCATGGAAGAATTCACTCACAGTATCACCACTTTCCCATCAGAGCACTCAACACCAAACCAAGAACAATGATCCACATGTTCATCCTTATCATTCCAGTTCGACAAAGCTCCATAAGGGTCTCTCACAATTGCTTCCCGAATCCTCAACAACGCCAAACCTGCATCCAAACAAACCCACTTTTGAGTCCATACCAAAACCCACTCCCATACCCACCCAGAATCTCTTACCTTCATCGTTCAGAGAAGAACAGAGACCCACATTCTGAAAAAACAACAGCGCCGCCGCCAGCACCGCCCATCGCAGCCTCTGCCGGCGAAATCTCCACCGTTCATCCATCCCCATATCCACACCGCCCGGAAACAGAGATCTAGTTTAGGAAAAACAGGAATGTTGTAGCTATGGAAATGGAGCAAATTCAGATGGGTCTGAGACGAAAGCGCGTAAAAATTTTGCCAACTTTCTCACAGTCACAGAATCTAAATATTATGACCGATTCAGAGCCGATGGGAAAAAAAAAAGGACCGAATTATCGGTGATTCGGCTCCGACGACTTTTCTTCCTTCAATTTATAGCGCCGTCCTTCTCCTTCCCATCATCAACACCATGTGCCGACCTCGTGCTCTGTTTCTCTCTTTTTCTTCCTTCAATTTTCCAGGAAAATTAAATAGCGTATTTAAAACGACATGTCGTCGTATTTCTGGTGTATGTTACGACCATGCGGAGGACTGAGTGTATCCAATAATCCCGGCGGCTGATTTTAATACTTTTGTTTTAAATTTTTTTTTCAATTTAACTTTCAATAATAATAATAGGTTTATAACACTGTGTGAACTAAATAGCTCTTATTGTTTCATAAAATCCTAAAAAATAGTATTTATTTTAAAGATATTGTTTAGGATTTTAGGTTTCAGTTCTTTTTTCATGTACTTGCTTTTATCTCCAACACACAAAAAGAACCTGTTATAGAGGTTAAATTTGTAATTTGCAATTTATATATTTGTTTCAAATTCAACCAAAAAAAAAAAAAAACATTAATCAAAGGTATTTTGTTGTATTTTTAATTTGTTTAACTTAATCTGTTTTGCAGCAATAAAATTGTGGTACAAATCCCTCAATTGGTCAAATCAAATTCCTTGGAATAATGGATTAAATTACTAGAAATTCTTGAAACCCCACGTTTCCACCACGTCGTAGGTTAAATAAATAAATAAATAAGTAATTGTCAAAAGGCAATGGCAGCTGTGGCCTGCACCAGCAAATGCCAAAACACAAGGCCCATTTGGATTAATGGATAAGAAAAGGGCATCGCATGGCATGTCGTCAAATTTACGTTCAAGAAAAGACCGACCGTGAAATCACAGCTTTCTCCGAATTTGACTGCCCATTTTCTTCAGATGTTTGCTTCTCACCGGCGTCCGGTGGCTTCATGGTTCCCATAAATTGATAGATGGTCTTTAATGAGAATAGCTATTTATGTCGGGTGGGAAGTTTCGAGGAGATGTGGATATAGTTCAGTGTTTATTAGACGTTGCAAATGTTCGATATTGTAACATTGTAACAGCTAAAGCCCACCACTAATACATATTGTTTTTCTTCCCCTTTGTGTCAAGATAATTTGTTACTGTAATAACTCAATCCCATATTTTACCCTTTTGGGTTTTCTTTTCCGGATTTTCCTCAAGGTTTTTATAAAAAATGTTTCAACTGATGTGGGATCTCATAATCCATTCCCCTTTGAGGCTCAACGTCCTTGTTGTACACCATCATGTGTCCATTCTTCTTCAGGGCTCAGCCTCCTCACTAACACATCACTTAGTGTCTAACTCTGATACTATTTGTAATAGCTCAAACCCACCAGATTTTGTCACTTTTGGATTTTTCCAATCAGACTTCCCCTTAAGGTTACGTATTTGATAGGGAGAAGTTTTCACGCACTCATAAAGAACGTTTCGTTCTCCTCTTCAACCAATATGAGATCTCACCGGTAAAATCTATGAGTCTATGAAATGTCTCAATAGTATCGAATTTGCATATATTTAAAGATGGGTTTGTAGAAGTTTTTATGTAGAAAGTTAGAATGAAGTAAAGATGGAGTGGGTCTTGGTTGGTCTAGTTTTTGTCTTGAAATTAGAGGACGTAGTCTCATGCTAACTTTTAATAGACATTGCCATATCCAACTATATGTGTATGGATATCCACTGGCCTTCATTTGGCAACACCCAACGCCTTTCATGCAAAATATGTATATATATATATATCAATTTAATTGCTTCTTATCTGTTGTTTGGTCCCTTTGCATTCACAATTTGTCCTTTTTGAAGGGATGGATTTCGGATTTCTGTCTCGTACACTAATAGAGAATTGTTACGATATCTTTCGAAATTTTGTCTCAAAGATAAGACGGGATGAATTTAAACTTGTTTGCTGAAGAGTTTAGTGGAATTAATTTTGAGGAAGAATTATCGAAGGGGACGAACGTAACTTCATTGGAGTACGTGTGAATTTTAGGATTTTTTTAACCTTGATCTTCTCCACTAAAATCTTCTCCTTTCATGAGTTAGACTACATTCTGGGAGTAGTTCGATCATCTCTAGGAAGAGCTTAGTTACGGCCTGAAGGAAAGTTAGGTTACGCTTTAGAAGAAGATAGATTACGATCTAAGAGGAATTTGGATACACCTTAGGAGGGGATAGGATAAGTTCTGAAAGAAACTAATATATGTCCCGGGAAGAGTGGGATGTTGATGGACAAACTAAATTTCGAGAGGAGTTGGACTTTGAGGAATTGTGAACTTGAAGTGTTGTAGCCTTGGTGAGAGCGATTGAACCTCTCGATCCTAGATAATATTCTTGTGGAAGTCGACACTAAAAAAAAAACTAATATATGACCTAAGAGTAGACTATTTATTAAGTATTTTTACACTCATTTATAATACTCTTATTTTCATTAAAAACGTGAGTTATGTAGTTGAGACGAATGCATACACAAACGCTAGAGTTATATAAGTGGAAAGAGATCTTAGTCATAATTTTTTATGAATATTTTGTGAACGATTTTCATTATACCTTGATCATAAATTTTTTATGAAACATATCGAACATGGTTTAGTGAAATGCATGTTATTAAACAATCAAAATTATCAAGTTGGTTTTTATTTCACGTCTGTAGTAGTTTGTGGTTTGAAATTCTCGAAAAATGAGTTGTTAAAACTTTTATTTTTATTCACGTAGATCTCTAATCCTTTGTTTCTAATAGATTTTTATACTTTTAAAAGTGTGTAATTCTCACTTACTCTCCACAATGATATGATATTGTTCACTTTGAGCATAAGCTCTCGTCACTTTGCTTTGGGCTTCCCCAAAAGGCCTTATACCGATAGAAAGAGTATTCCTTGATTATAAACTCATGATCATTCTCTAAATTAACCGAGGTAGGACTTTCATCCAACAATTCGAAACGACATAATTCATACTTGACTTGGTTGGTTTCATTTCTTGAATTGGCTTGTTCTACCTCACTGATGTTGGGCTACTCTGATTGAGCCCCAATACCCTTAGGGTTCTCTTACAACATCACTTGAACATTTTGTGTATGATTTTTAATGTCACACATCTTTATATCATTTAAACGACTAAATCGTTATAAAAGTTACGCAATAATTTTAAGATAAATTTGAATAATCTCGAAAACGGGTTATGAAAGATGAGACATTAAAATAAGTCATTTTCGTACTTAGTGCTTTAAATGTTGAAGCCATAATAAGTCCACCAAAAAAATTAGATATTTGAATCCTCCAACCATATATAGTTGAATTATAAACAATAAAAAAGTTTTAGATATTTAAATTAAATTTATAATCAAATAGGCTGTACAAAATTTAATTTATAATAAATTAGTAAATTAACAATTCCATTATGCTAATTTACTAATAAATACAAACACAAATGCATAATTTATAGCAATATTATTGTAAACATTTTATTCTTAAGAATCTAGTATTCGTTCTCATCCAGTGACAGATACCCTAACAATGATGATTAGTTGTAAAAATGGAGGTTACACGTCAGAACCAATCACAATCAAATCAAAGAGTTAAAAAACATTCAAAATCTTCCCAAATTTGAGATCAAAGTTTTGGGTAAATTAGGCCGTCTAAAATTGGTAATACATAAATGGTGACAGACACATTGGATAAGCAAAGAATAATGGGCTCAAAAGATAAAAAGATTTTGAAGAGGAATATGTTTGCGTTAAGAACATTATGGATTTTGAATATATATTTTTTAATTGTTCAAACAGAGGAATTAAGTTCCTCAAGTTATGAATTGAATCAATTATTTGTAACTGTACCTATTTCTGGTTCTACAAGCAAATTGAAGGCAGGTAGGTAGCCACCAAATCTTTTAATTCTAAAGCTGCTGCTAGTTTAGAAGTTTTGATCGGAGATTATAATTGAAATGAATTCATTGATGAACAATTTCTGGGGGGAAGAGAGGAAATAATTAAGCCATTTTTGTGATTGCTTTCTTGCTTCTGCACACAACAACATTACCAGAGATTTCTATGGCGGCAGCTTAATAATAATAAGAAGAAGAAGAAGAAGCTAAACTCGTTACAAGCTACTTTTTAGATACAAAAATGTTAAGAACTGATCCAAGAAAAGAAAAAATAATGAACAATTGGTCAATCGAAATTAGTTTCCTCTTTTCTTTTCCTTTTGTTTTCTCATTCCTTTTAAGGGGATGATTTCTTACATTTTTTTTGTTCTCTTTCTTTAAATTTTGGGAAGAGAAGGGATCAGAATGATTCAGAATATAGCAGAAGAGCAGGAATGGCACCTGATCAGACCGTTCTCGTTGCAAACCGTACACATCTTGAATCCACTTTTCTCCGAGAACAATTTGTGGCTTCCATTGCACTCTTCACACAGAATGAACCTGAAGCCACCGCAGACCTCACACACGCCGGAAGCCGCCGTCGGCAACCCCTCTATCAGCTTCTTCAGCTCGCCGATCTCATGAAGCTCTCTGACTTCCTCCGCCCCGCCGATATATTTGCCGCCGATGAAAACCGCCGGCAAGGTCACCTTCCTTCTACCGAGTAGTTGATGTAACTCCGACACAAATCCCGAATCCATGGACAGATCTCGTTCATCAACCGAAACGCGGAAACCTCGCAGAATCGAGCGGACGGTCCGGCAGTCTTCAAAAGTAGACCGGACAACGCGTAGGCTCGTGAAGTAAACCAAAATCTGTTTGTCCAAAAGCGGTACAGCCTCGGATCGCGTCGGAACCTGCGGCGCTTTAGTCGATTTAGGGTCTAGTAATTTGAGAACCGGTTCAGGCTCAGGCTGAAACCGAAGCTGCGATTGAGCATCGGGCGGAGCATTAGACCAGGCTTTGAGCAACGAATTAACAAATCGGACTCGATGGAAGACGATTGAGGCCTTTCTGGAGGTAGGTTTAGCGGTTTCTTCAGCGAAAAGTTCTTGAACGTCTTTGAAAGAGGAGCAAGAGAAGGAAGAGGACTGTGAGGTCTTATCAGGAATCTGAACCATCGATTTGCTCCACGAGCGCCACATCGAGGCCGGAATTTGAATGACAACGACAGAATCTCTCCTCTTCTCGGCGGATATCGAAAACGAAAAACGGTAAAGAAGAAGAAACAAGAGGGAAGGGCAGGAGAAAATGCAGAAAAACTTACCGATTGCTTGAAGCGAAGAGTTGATGATTCGAGGAGAGGGTGCAAAAGGAAGGGTTTATTTGCAGAGGAGATCAGGCTTTCCTTTGTTCCCCCATTCACTTATTAGCTTAGAGAGAGAGAGAGAGAGAGAGAGAGAGAGAGACTAAAAGGGGAAAATAAAGGTTGAAAATTGAAGGCGAAGGGTACCCTTAGCGGTTTGTTTTACGAGAGGTTGTAATTAAGCAACCCAAACCATAATTTTAGCGTTCAATTATGGATAATTAAATCATTTCATGTCTTAATTACCTTTTCAACTATATCATTTTTTTTTTTAAATTTATTTGGACGGATTTTATTCCCTCTTCTTATTTAATATTATATATATAATTATTTGATGATTTTTTTCAACTTTTAAATATTTTTTTAAAAAGGCTAAATTATAAAACAAAAATACCATTTTCCATTCAAAAAAATACCTATAAAATTTATATCAACTATTTTTAAAAGTTTATTAAGAGTTATTATTGAAAATTTTAAACATTTGTTTTTATTAATTTAGTATTTTTTTAAAATAAAAAAGAAAATGTTAAAAAGAGTTATTGTTTTGTTCCAAAGAAGAGGAAACATATTGGATGAGAAAAACATTATTTTGACGCAGAAAATGGGAGGAAAAAGTGGAGAGTTGGGCGCGTGCAAGAATGGGATCACGTGCACTGTGGGCCCCACCCATAATAATGTTTTTTTTTTATTAATTAATTTTCTAAGAATCTAAAAAAACATAAATAAATAAATGGTTAAAAAGTTTCATTTTTTTTTATTTTTTTCTTATAAATTTAGTTTATAAATGTTTTGTTTATTAGTTGTAATAAATTTTTTAATTTTTAAAACTTTTATATTAATGTGTAAGAAGCAGTGGTGTGGTGTGAAGCCTTGAAAATGTAATGGGTCTTCAATTTCATGCTTAAATTTTTGTTTTCTTGTTTGTCATACACTCTGTGACATTGGATGGTTCACATTAGGGTTCCATTTCGTTCTTTTGTTTGTTGATTCTTCATTCATCCATTCACCCTCCCGTGTCTACGTGTTTTAATATCGTTCAATTTTTCTATTCTTAGTAAAGATGGCTGCACCGCTCTCGACTAGATGGAGACAAGGAAGCCTTTTTGTAATAACACGATTTTATACCTAAAATAAAACAAAATTTGAATAAATCAATTAATTGAATTAAAAAATAAAATAAAAGTAGACCGGTTGTCGATCGTACTCCGACCAATGGCAGGAGTAGTACCATATTGGTCCGCGCATATTCAAGCTTGAATTTGTGACTCATTCATTTGTTTAATGATGTTATAGGAGGTTTGCCAATTAATTTCCTTTTTAGTAATCCTTCCCACGATAAGGGATGTTACTTCCTTTATGATGTCGTTATGTGGCCTATTAGAGTGATGCCAACTAAACCCTGCTAAAGAATTTGTGATATGGAATCAATATAAAAGAAAGTATAGAACGGATTACCTTAATGATCAAGATCATGAATAAAGAAAATTCGTTTATAAACTCGTGATTCGAATTACTCCACAACTAGTTTAATCAATAGCACTTGAATGACGGTAGCATGCATGTTTTAAACCCAAGAATTTCGAAAAAAATCTTAGCTCTCAACAAAGCTAAAGTCTCTAACTAAAGAAAAACTTAAAAAGTTTTATATAGCTTTTACAATCTAATTTTACACGAGTAATTTCCAAATTAAATTGGCTAGTAAATAAGAAATACCCACAACCTCCATATTAAAATGACTAGTTAATTAATGTATCTAGGTTACAATATAATTTTAACTTTTATATTAAAAACTAGCTCAAATATGACAAATAAATATTTAAATTATAATTAAATAGTGCAATGAATGAAATAGGCTCGTTAGTACTAATTCCATAAATTTAGCTAAGTAGTTGCATTGAATGCATCTCTTTCTTGGAGCTCAACTTTGCACAACATATAAGAGAAGTTTCCAACGTTTTCTAGAATTTCTTTTTATGAGCTAACCATAGCTTGAATATAAGTGTACAAGGTTTGTTATAGCTTTTTGACTCTCATCCTTGTAATTGGACCTTGAGATATGAAAATTCCTTGGTCGTGGTTCATATCAATTTGAGAACAATGTTTGTAATGATATATAATAAGAACTATGGGCTGGAACCAACATCGAGGTCGCGCCTTGAGGGTCTACGAGACAAGTCTATAATGATGATGATGAATGTGACTAGTAGAACAATCTCACTAAGATACGCCAAAATCCCTAAACCTCGAATGAACATTATGGAAAAGATAAGTTAAGCAAAGTTGAACTCAAAAAACAAATACTACGAGACAAATGGGTTCATAAGAGCCGAACACTAAAAATGAAATTTATAAAAAAGATGAATTCAAAATAGTTGAACTCCCGAAACAAACCCTATGAAAAATCGTGTTTAAATGTTTTTAATTTGTGTATTTTCAATTATTTCATATCAATAAATGACGATTTGTGGCTCAAATCTCTCGAAACAAAAATAATATAATACTCTTTTTCAAGTTGAATTTTGTTTTTTTAATGATTGAAAAATTAATCATTTTTTTGTTTTTAAATATTTTTTATATTTATATAAGGTAAAAGTACTTTAGTTTAAATGGATTACATTTAAGTAACTTTATTTATTATATAATATATGTTTCTCTTTGTTCATCATGTTAAAATCATTTTTCGATAATTTATTTATTTTTATAAATTGTTTTAAAATGATTTGACTTTTCAAAATAATATTTTAAAGAATATCTTTGATCCTTTAAAAATAATCTAGAGCCTACATTAGACATATTTTAAATCATTAATATTTTTAATGTGGTTAAAGAATAAAGTGATTTTAATTCTTTTTCAAAAAAAAAAAATTATATTAAATTTAAGTTTGTGTCATAATATTTTTTAATTTTAATTTGCGTCTAACAATCTTTTAATTAATTAAATTATAATTAGTTTGTGTACGAATTAATTTTTAGATTTTTAAATTCAAAAAAATTATTTAAAGGTCCCTAATTATTATATTATTATTATTGAGTCCCGACATATTTAAAAAAAATTAAAAAAATTAATTTATTAATTATTAAATACATTTTATTTTGTGTTTAATAGAGGGATGAAATTTATAAAATATGAAAGGGATAAAATACTTACTAAAATTATCCTAAATAAATATTAAAATTTTGAAATGGTTGCAATTTTATTTTTTTAATAAATTATTGTTTGAAAGATTAGAAGAAAAATGAAAGATATTTTTATGGAATTGTGTGAATTAAAAAAAATTATTTAATGATTAATTTGTGTATTTATAGCCTATGAAAATTTTATATTGTTTTATTTTTTAATTACTTGGTGAATTATTGGAAATTGAAAGGAGAGGATTAATTAATTATTAGTTGCTTGACCAACTGATCATCGTCTTAGTTCTCAAGGTTACCGACGCGCCTCTGGTGCGGCGCCAAATTGAAATGGAGCTCGGAGCGATGGCGACTACCTCCGAAGGTAATGCCAAGTCCATAGCTATCAGCGTCAAGTTCGCCGGGAAGTCAATACGTGTTACTGCTCCCTGTGATTCGACCGTCAAGGATCTGAAGTCCCTTCTTCAACCTTTAACCAACGTCCTACCTCGCGGCCAGAAGCTCATTTTCAAAGGTTTTGGATTCGAATTTTTGTGGAAGGAATTTGTCTGAGAGAGGTGGATTTGAATTTTTGAAGTTCGTGATATGTGATTACAGGGAAGGTTTTGGCAGACGAGATGACTTTGGCGGCGTCGGAGATCAATAATGGAGCGAAAGTGATGCTTATGGCTTCTCAGGGATTGTATCAAGGGGTAGTTGGTTTTTCCATTCGTTCTTTTTTTTCAATTGAAGTCTTCTTTCTTACATCTTGAATTTTATTTTGCTAAATCTACATTGTGATCTTCCGAGTGGATCAAATTGAGGGTTTTACATGTCATGTATCTCGTTTATTGAAGTCTTAGGGTTAAATTGTTAAAACTGCGAGAATTGGTCCCAAGGACGACTTATCTGTTAAACATTGTGGACTATATGTTGGCGAAATGTTAAGGGAATGCATATTGTTATATGTTTTCATTCTTTGGATTTGACTGAATAGGATGGCCCTATCCTGCTCGAAGCGAGGACTCGTCCCAGAGAAAGGAGCACGCCAAATGCGAAGAATTTGGTTGATGAAAAGAAGCGTGTCTCCGTAGATAAAAGCCGGTTTGAAAGATGGAAGGCCACTGGAGTGATAGCATTATCTGACTGCAATTTGAAGGTATAGAAGAAACCATCGCTTTCACAGAACAAAATAAAACTGTGATTGTTTCTCTCAAATCTTCATTGGAATCTCCCATAGGCAATTCCCGATGAAGTGTGGTCTTGTGAAGCTTCAGCGAGAGTAATTGATTTGAGCAACAACTCTATTAAGCATGTTCCTTCTCAAGTTAGCTGCCTAAGTTCAACGCAGGTGAAGTTAATTGCTGTCTTCCTTTTCACCTTTTCATTTGAGTGGTTTAAATTCCTCTTCGTAAGATCTCTCCAATTTTATCACGATCTGCAGAAATTATTACTGAATGTTAATGAGATATCCGATGCATCTATAAGTTGGGACAGTTTAGCGTTTTTGAAGCGTCTAACAGTTTTATCTCTGTCCCATAATCTGTAAGTAGCTTCAGTTGTTTCAAGGATTAGTCACAATCTAATTTTTGCAATATCAGAATACAAAAGTCTTAAGTGACTATATTATGTCATCCGGTACCCATAAACATCAAACAAGGCTGGTTGATGCAGGTTAACTACTTTGCCTTCTGCACTTGGCAGCCTGACTTCACTAAAGCAACTGCATGTGACTAATAACAAATTGACGAGTATCCCAGATGAAATAAGATTTTTGACCCAACTTGAAGTTTTGAAAGTCAGCAAAAATAGGTAATGCTGAGTGGCATATGCTCACACAAATTGCTCATCAGTAAAACGCTCAACCGTGGTGAAGATATTCTTTACTAAATAATTTACTTACACTTTTATTTTTTGTGGTGTAGATAGTTCAACATTCCCTAGTTTATTTAATGTGAATTAATTTTTTCGTCGTTTTCTATTACTAATGCCTCTCACCATACATGGGGCAGGATAAGCATTGTTCCTTCAACTGTGGGGGAATGTAGTTCTCTTACTGAGGTACAACTTACCAAACTTATTTTTAGAAGAACTTTTCTTCTCTTTTTATTAATCTTAGAAATATTGATTCCCATAATTGTCTCCCTCACCTAAAGTTCTATCGACATGCTTGGCTATGGTACAGGTGGATTTGTCATCAAATCTTCTGTCAGAGTTGCCAGAGACACTTGGTTGTCTGCACAATTTGAAGGTTCCTACTTAATTCTCTATCCAGATCATTTACTTTCTTCGTATGTTTCATTCTAATCTCAATAGTGGAAATTAAGGGACGTAATGCAGATACATGAAATAGAGGCACATTTCTTTTACGGTTCATTAGGAGCCGTAATTAATTACGTTGTTGCTGTTAGGGGCAAATCTTTGTGGGTACCAATACCATACATGACATTTCTTGTCTTTCTTTTCACTCTCTTTATTTGCTTACTGACAATTCATTTAAGTAGAGCGTATACTTGCATCTTTTTAGTATCTAGTTTCTATTATTATTTCAACCTAAGAATTCTAGATTCTGTTTTCCAGTTAATTTTGAAGTAGTTCATTGTTATTAGATTCAGGGAAGTAATCCATCTATTTTTCCAAATGTATGATAATTATTTTTGGAAGTAAACGAAGTACGATAACCTGAAAGCCACCCTATCTTGGTCAATACTAAATTTACCAGCACCAATTTTACAACAAAAAGAATCCTCTCGGTAGGGAATCTCTGCGACCACTTGACTATAATTGTAATACTCCTATTTTCTGTAACTGTGACGTCAAGTGAACCCTTAGCTAAAAAAGGTTACTTTTTTCCAGTTAACAAGTCCGAGAAGTAGTAAGCAGAACTGGTTTGACACACTTAATCTGAGTAATTGACCCTTCTTGATTGGCATGTTCCCTACAAGCAAGCATATATGAGAACTTCTTAAGAACGGAATTGCAATTGTTTAGATTTCAGATTCCTTAAAAGAAAACGTGTAGTGAAGAAGCCACTCCCCTGCAGTCTGTCTCACCTGCACCAAAGAAATCCATTATCCACCACTCCTAACCTCTATTTCAGAGTGGCTAATGGCAACAATAATAGATTTAATTGGCAAGTCTCTTTCAGAAAATACCCAAACTCTTTTGAAGAGGTTCTCAATCCTGCCAAAATTGGTCGCAAGGAAGAGGAGTGTCATTGGTAAAGTACAGAGGGCTAGCATGAATAAAACTGTACCAACTTTCAAACCTTCCACAGATCAAGATCTATTCCGACTAATAGCTTGTATGAATCACTGCCAGGAAAAATAAGAACGGATGGAGAAGGTAAACTTTGATGAATACCCTTGAAGCTAAAATCTTACTCGCTGGTCTTACATTGAGCAGAGTGGAAATTTCGTGTCAGAAACTCTCCTCATATCTCCAAAACCCTTTGCTCCTAGGACTGAAAGAAGAAAATATCACTCGGTGTCCAATTCCAAGCTGACCCAAGTTCTAGCTTGCAAAGTAGCCTTTTTTCCGTTTCCTCCAATCCTCAAGAGTTCTAAATTCTAATTGCTTCCGTTTTCCTTTTTTCCACAAAAGCAACCTTGCAAGGTGAAATTATATGCGTACATAAGGCTTCAAACAATCTCCAAGAACCTCAGCAACAGCCTGATACAAATAAGTAGATAGGTGTTTAGAATGAGACGCAAGTTTCCCTAGAGCTTGCTCCCAACCTTGAAACCTTGACTAATTTCACAGTATTAACCTCCTGACTTACAAATATGGCATTAGAAAAACCATATGATATATAATATCCTATATATGTGGCTATCATAATTTGAATTGCGACTCCAAAAGAACATATAAGGTTGAAAACTGTTGCTTTTATTATTAAGTCAATCTATGATGATTTTTCGTAATAGCCTTTCGAACTTCTTTATTAAAGGACATTCCAAATGAGCTACATGTAACCAAAAATACTTATTGTCGATTCATCTTTAGCCTCAAACTTAAGCTATTGGTTGAGGTAATTTTAATCATTTAACATGTCATCAAGTTTTGTTCTTTACAGGTGTTTGTTTTACATTTTATTATAATGATTCTTCATATGTGATAATGATTTCTCTTATCTGAACAGTTTTTATGAAGATAAGTGGTAACTATCTTAACAAGTTGTTCCAATATATATTCTGCGACGTGTAGAGAAACATACTCAACACACACAGCCTCATATTATGGTTCTTTTTATTATTTAGACTACGCATAACCTTAGCTCCTAATTCCATGCACATTCGTATTCCCATATAGCGGTACTCAACTGACTCCCAAGTCCCAACATATGTAAATTGAGCTGGGTGTGTGGCTTTTAAGAACTTCAATAGGAGATTCCTGTCTTAATTATTTTGCCATGTACTGCAGGCTTTGCATATCAATCATAACGGCCTAAGGTCCCTCCCTACTACACTATTTAAGATGTGCATCCACCTCTCTACACTTGATCTCCACCACACAGAAATCACCATAGATCTCCTCCGGCAGGTGTGTCCTCATGCTGCAATTGTTTGGATCAATCTATGCCTGCTTGATTAATTTGACCATCTTTTGTGATAGTATGAAGGATGGGAAGCTTTTGATGAACGTCGGCGTTCAAAGCATCAGAAGCAACTAGATTTTCGCGTTATGAGCCAGGCTGAATTTGATGAAGGTGCAGATAAACATTGATGCTTTATGATTTATTGCTTTTAAAGTCAACATGCAGCAACTGTCTCGTTTTTTCTGTAAAATACATTTGGTTAAATTAATGCGACATTGGTCCTGCCAGAACCAGAAAATTTCAGGCTTACATTAGCTTCATGTTAGATTATGGAAATCGTTGGGGGTGAATTTAGGTAATCATCTCTTGGCTTGGCTAATTGTCAAAATATTTGAGATGTATTGTCCGAATGTCCCTTTTTCATTTCCTTCCTGCGAGTGCGAGGTGTGGAGATAGGGACAGATGATTCCAATGGAGCCATTCACGTCTTCTAAAGCTCTCACTTAATCAATTTAAGAACAGGAGAATCTTCAAATATTTTGGTAATATTGAATTTCTTTACATATATACTCATATTTTTAACATATTTTCGATTAAACAGTCAAAAATTCAAATTCCTTCTTCACATGAATGATAGCATCGTGATGTTCATTAGAAGTAGAACCCGAAATCTAAATAATGGTTCTTTTGCCTTTTGAAACTCAAACTCACAAAAGAAGAGATTGTTGAATTGAATATTTTCTTACTATAAGATGTCTTTTTTTTACCTCTTCAAAGTATTATCCTGTGAAGGTCATCATTCCTAATCTTGGATAAGGTTGAGAACCATTACTACCTGAAACAGAAACTAAACTCACCCCATTCGAGACACAGATCTCAGTATAGTTAAAATACGCCAGCATTTCTGGTAGCAACACTAAGAAATAAAGCACCCAAACACATTTTTTATTTCCAAGAACATACTAAACCCCAATTTTCAATAATTTAAACATCCAATACTCAATAGATAGAAGGGAGGAAAAAGTGCAGAGGACAAGACGAGAAATAACAATGTTGAAATGTGTAAAGCGAAAAACTCTAAACTCATCTTCGTGAAAAAAGTCGAACATCTCGAAGCCAGTGTTGGTGGATATAGCTTCAACCATCCATACAATAAAGGTACATCATTCATATTGCACAAAATCAACGTTTCTTCCACATTCATGTATGAATATGTGAACTGTGTGTTGGCCGTTTCATATTTGAATACTCTCGCAGCTCTAGACTTTTAAAGACTAAAAACAAGGTCTTACCAGGGACAGAAGCATGATCCAGTGATGAAGAGTACCTAACTAAAAGTAAACAGACACCAGTGGGATGTCAATATCATTATCCTCATCATCCTCGCATGCCACCACGACATCCAAATGTCGACAATACGGGGGCAGTTCCACCTTGGCAATATCTCGAGCTAAATCAACTACCTTCTTGTCCATTCGATCTTTGTGTCGAGGAAACATGCTATTGTACAGGAGACAGCTACCACATGAGATGCTATAGGCGTTCAGTCCCTTGTTCTTCAACCATTTAATGAGTTCTCTGAGAGTAGGGTTGTCTTTGATGATCCATCTGTCCCAAACAGTCCAGCTCATGTCACGGTGCTTAATGACCTTGGGTGGGACTGGCTCAGCCATGGAGAAAAGAGGCAAGGCAAGGTTGGCAAATGTGTTACGGTAGTCCTCCACCTTGTGGCCGCCATCTAGAACTTTGTAGAGTTCAAGGCAGACAAGACCTGTGGCCATTGCAGTAGAGGTTGCAATGGCGGGGATGATCCTTCCGGCAATGAACTTGGCTTTCAACTTATCTACTTCAGGAATGCTGAAATTTCTTGCTCTCATGTTAGCCAGTCCAGCTATGAGGTCCATATGGTAATTTGTATCATCATCCTGCACGTCCAAACTCGGCTAGTTGAATTTACATTATCAATTCTACTAAGATTACTATAAACCTTTACAGTCAGTCATAAATATCTCTCTACTTATATCTTCTTTTCATTAAAAATGAAGAAATACCTTCTCAAACTGGATCGGTTTCATCCTGAATCCCTCTGGTAGGTTCCTGCGAGTATCTTCCAATTTGTCTACCAGATCATGAATAACAGCAGCATCATCAACAGATGCTGCAGAGAGACTGGTAGCCTTCTCATCAGTCACAATCTTGGCATCTTTTTTGGGCATAAAGTCTGGTACTATAACCCTGTCGACCGCATCAGCCAATTTCCTGGGGTTCTTAACCCAGTCAGGAATTGAAATGGCATATGATTCTGCTCTTAGTATAGCAGCCGCCAAAACAAACTGAAGGTGACTTTGATCAGCAGTTGAAAACGGAAGTGGATGGGGAAATCTCTTTGGAGCCGACCAAAACGGGGCGCCATTACTGGTTGCAGCATCCTCAGGAAACGTGTAAATCAACTGCTTTACACGGTTTGCAAAATAATCTTCAAACCTGTCAAAATGAAATCATCACAACAGGAATCAATATATTGATCTGAAGCATAAAAAAGTTGAATGGATATAGATGAAAGTTGAGATTATCAAGGAAAGTACTTCAATCGAGCCCATGTAATGCAGTCTTCAAATGTCTCGCATCTTTCTCTATCAAGACACTCAAGAACACGCTCCAAAGTATCCCTAGACTGAGCATCACCAGCATTCATCATCGAAGAAGCATACTCACTAGGATTAGATAGATAAGCATTCACATCAGAAGGAGTCTTCTCAAGTAAACCCTCAAACTCAGATCGAGCCCATGTCAAACAGTGATCGATATTGTGCGGAAATGAATGCACAGTGCACATGGGCGCTTGTTTTTCAGGTGGGTCTCTTGATGCCCCATAGTTTTCAGTCAGATGAGGAATAACCATTTGAGTATTGCATTTAGCACCAAGAGTACCAGATTCTAAAAGTGGTTTCTGGAAGTATAAGCACCTTTGATCAACATATAGCCTTGCATTTACGTTGTCTAGTGCATTAACTATGACACTCAAATTCTCCCAAAAGCTATCGTTAAAGACATTTTCAGTTTCAGGACTAACTCGATTCTGCAAAGCTTCAATATTAAGGTGCCGATTGATTGCAACAGCAGCAGAAGCAGCAACCGTGGATTTGTTCTGCCCAATGTTCCAGTCACGGAAAAGGAACTGCCTACTTAGGTTGCTTTTTTCAATAACATCATCATCAGTAATTGTTAGCTTCCCTTCGTTGCTACATGAAACTCCCATAAGTGCAAGATTCTTCAAAAACTCACAACCTAGAGCACCAGATCCGACCATAAAGACTTTGGCATTTTCCAGTTTCTTCTGTAGCTTAGACCCGAACACTGAAATCTGTGCGTCATAACGGCTATTCAAGGGTCTAAATTCACTGGCGTCCAATGCCTCTGTGGGAAGTGACTCCACTGAGTCGAAATAGAAGAACTGCATTTTTTAAAGAAAATAACATAAGGATGCAAGAAATAGTAATCAAATGACAATGCCACTATCCCAGCATGAGGGAAAGTTTAAACAAGATACATTGCAATAACTTCACTGGTCTCATTAAATTATGATCTAATTCATGTATGCAAAGAGAAGCAAACTTGTACGAGTAACTTCAAGGGGGCTGTCAAGACATTTAAGAAACTTCTTGAATGAAAAGGCGCCAAGCATTTAAACACGAAGGTCATTAGGCATATTTAATTCAGCCTCAAACATGACTAGTCTACTAACCTGGACGAGTGGATGAAACTTTCCAGAACATGCTTTGAGAACCTCTTGAGCTACAATACCACCAAACATGGCTGCCATGGGATTCAGTACTGCCTTCGCACCAAATGCAAAATGTCTCAAAAGCTTAGGATTAATATCTTCAACTCTCCCATCTCCTAGACTCTCATTCATGTTACTGGCAACAGAGATTAGCTTCTGAGCATCGTCCTCAGAACCAGCAACTGGAAAGCGACCCAACTCAGTCACAAATTTATCTAATGCCAAGAACGCCAGGTGTATGAGAGGAGGACGGTCGAATTTGGAGAAATCACTCAGAAGGAAATCACCAGGATCGTTGATTGCTTCTCTTAATGGCTTGAAGTTCAACACCTTGGGCTGCTTCACCTGTGTGACAATCCCACCTTTTTCATAGATACCATAGTTCGTAGTATCTTCATCAAGAGTAAACGAATAGGCCCTGCAATTTTTAATCCTCCTTGGCTTCCCATCATTCAGTTCAGTCATACCATGAACTTCAGAAAACACCACAAGATCTCCATCCTGAAATTCAAGCCTCTCATCATCAACGCAGGAAACAAGTGCAGGATTGTCATTGCTAATGGACGCAATTATGCCAGTGTGTGGGTCCTCTCCATACACATCATAAACAGTGAACTCCGGTCCAAAGTCACAAAACACTGATCCAAATAGCCCTCTGACTTCAGACTTGATAAATGAAATAGGAGGCTGGTGGTTATGACAGAAGTCATTGAACTCCATAGCCTTGTCAAGGCCAGTATCAGTAAAGACAACAACCTGCATCCACAGAACTTGGAAGGTTACATAATGTGCATGGGACTCGTATACATGAGAAAAATAAGCACACATAACTGATGTTAAAGATGTACACCCCTGCAACAGAAATCAGCTATGTTCGTTTATTTTTTTTGACAGAAGGAAATTGACACTGATGGGTAGAATGATAGTATTGCTAGAATTTGTCGTTTGTTGGGTTAGCTTGTTCTTTTCCAAGAAATTACTAGATTGATTTCTTAGTGAAACATCCATTACAATGATGATCTCCACAAATAGGGGAATTAAGCTTTTGAGTGGAAACTTTACGGATGAATAAAAAAAAGTAAACAAGTAATCTCAATATCTAGATGCTAGGTTGCTTCACCATGCTATGAATTACTCCTCAACACACCACCTTCACTAAGCAGGAAATTTCCAAGGTCATAGAAGGGAAATAGCAAGGCTACGACGGAGCCCAACCGTTTCCCTTTTGAATTCTCTTTAAGAAGTCTTGAAACCATCTCAAGCAGGATATGATGGAAATATTGCAGCTCTTTCCAAAAGGAATAGTCAATACTATTACTAAAGAAACTTTTCTAGCTCACTTACCAAATAAAGACTACATACGTAGCTTAACCATGAGCCTCAACAAAATCTTGCCAAAAGATCCTTCATAAAAAGTCAAGACCATCTTCCAACCACCATTTGGGATATTCCTCTAGCTCAAAAGCGCCCCCAAGTCATCTATTACTAATAAGAAGGTTGTCGCATTTCTAAAATAGTGGAACCGTAATAATGAGGACTTTTTTTTTTTTCCTTACTTTTGCAAGAACTTCAATATTTAGAGGTGGAGAGACTAAACGTTAAGGCAGCCTACCAAGGTGTTTTTTCAACTACTAGTTAAGGTTCAGGCAATGCCTCAAGATGCATCTGATTATATTATGTGCAAAATTATCAAATACGGCCTCTTTACAGAAGACTTGCCAATAGACTTTCTAACAGCACTATGGGAAACACA